TGCTAGACTACGAGGATAGTGCTAGACTACGAGGATAGTGCTAGTCTACGAGGATAGTGTTAGACTACGAGGAAAGTGTTAGACTATGAGGATAGTGCTAGACTATGAGGATAGTGCTAGTCTATGAGGATAGTGCTAAACTATGAGTATAGTGTTAGACTATGAGGATAGTGTTAGACTATGAGGATAGTGCTAGTCTATACCTGAGCAATCTGAGCGAGATTTCTGTGACAGCTGAGTTCCTGCTGTATCTGTGTGGACATTATGACGTGTGGGTTGATGGTGATGGAGGGTCCTATCGTGCCGAAGGTCACCACGAACTGTTTACTGTCGCTCTTCCACTGGATGTGTATCTGTAATACATCACATACTGTTTACCGAAAAATGTTCACCCAATCAAATTTTCGACCCTTCGACGCTTAATACAATTTGCGCCCACATTAAATCCGACCTTCACATTTAATAACTATGTATATTATCTTTTTTACAATTGTTTGCTGTAATGTTAAATTCACCCTTATTACAGAGGGCGATAAAGGCGAAAATTAAACTGCAGTGAAAATTTCCCAGTATACAGGAATCGAAAGTATATCTACAGTCTGCTTCAGTTGATAAAAATATAAAATAGCCTAAGAGATTCCAAAGGGAAATACACAAGACAAGCTAGTTAACGGGAAGAATCTACTTTAAATACGGAATTTGAGAGAAAAATCTCTTTACTTTCTGAGAAACAGCAACAATTTTATTTTTTATTTTAAACAACCAATCATTTGATCGATCATGGCAGGCTAAATGGCCTCAGATAAAATAAAACAGCATCAATACAACTGGACAAAATTCAAATTTAATGCTGATACAGAAAGATTTAAACTGGAATTGAGAATAAGTCCAGTGTGATGAAATAGACAGAAAAATGTCAACTAAGGGCTGCTGAATGCTGAATTTCTAAAATCTTATTCTGAGGGAGGAAATGTCTTTGTCTTAATCTCCAGAACAACTGATTACATTTCCCCCAAACGCTTTCCTGCTGTTAATATAATTGAATATTTTACCTATTACATAAATAAAAGGCTGTCATTTTAATACCTGTTGGCCAAAACTGATGATGCAATCCCATTGTGATATGGTAATGTCATTTAAATAGGATATTCTTGAAGCTGCTGTGCTGTCATAAATGGTTAAGTGGTGAAATTTTCTGAATAAAGACAGGTTTGGGCTGTCCTTATCTAGGGAGATAAAGACAGATTTATCATTATGATTTTAAATGATGTTACAATCATTTTGATCGAATAGGAGACAAAATATTGGAGACTGAACTCACCAGACTGGACCTGTTGGGGCCGTACACTAGGGTGAGCTTCCTGTAGCTGTAGGAGTGGACATCCACAGTGCTCCGCAGTCCTGACCGCTGGTCTGTGAAACAATTAAGGTCAGGCATTACAGTACATTCATCCCTGCATCGTGCGTGATAAAAACAAGATGGGGAACATCTCAAAGGCAATTAAAAAGTTTACTTTATTTTCTTTTTAAGGTCTTAATTGAAAGCAATTTAAAGCTCTTCAACTTGTACAATTAAGACACCATGTAAAGGAAGGCATCGTTTTTTGTCAAAACTGATTCAACTGTACTGTATTTTTATCACACTTGTCAAAATGGTTGGATATTTAATCATGAAAAAAAACCAACATCAATTTAACTTTCCGTATTAAAGTGCACTAACACCATTCAATAGAAGAAATCAAAATTTACATACCATTGTAGATTTCAGCGAAATCAGCGACGAGGCTGTAGAGGTGACAGATAGAGTACCACTCATCAATCACTTCCTTCACCACCTTCTTAAGGTTGTCCAAGTTTAGCTCATGCATGAAAATGACACGCTGCACCGGACCTGAGGAAATATCCGTTAAAGAATTCAGTGAGACTATGGATCATACAATGCTGCTATCAATCTCAAATTGTTTTATCTCCATAAAAGTGGAGGTCTACATGCACAGTTATAATTTGTTTGTGCATATAAACCGCAACTGAAGCTCAAATCTATCTATTTCTATTTAGCTTATAGTAGTCCAAACATCAATCAGTTGCTATTAACTCTGCAATTGTTTTTCTACCATGAAAATTTCAATTACCTTTACACGTACTTACCTGATTCTTTCTTGTTAGTAGTCTCTAGCGGGGCCTTGGCAAACAAGAACTGGAACAGAAACATAAACAGTTTCTTACAAACTTTCGTTTCCCTTCCATGGGAAGTCATTACAGTATACATGGAGGAAATTTTCTCTGCATTGTAACTTTGGTCTTTTTTGCTTTCTGCAATTTTACCGATGAAGGGTGGATATTTCACTGGGTGATTATTTTCCGGTATAGAATATTTGATTGTTTTCCATCATTATTAAGTTACTTGCCTACATTTTATTAACGAAATTATTAAGATAAAAAAACTTATGAAATATTGGAGATTCAGATATGAAATGTTTTCGTGATAAAACTAACCTCGACAATCCAGTTCCTGGATGGCTTATTGAGGATGCGGAGCTTCAGGGAGAGCAGTGCCTTCTTGAGACCGTCACAGGCTCTCTTGTTACAACCTTCCACATCAGGCAGGCTACGACAGAGCAGAAGACACCAGTCATACAGGTCCGATAGCAAGATGATACAGCAATAATGATCTACGTTACTTCTCATCTCCATTGCCAGTTAATTATCAAAACATGAGCTTTTTAACCCTTTCACCCCTAAGTAACTTAAGTTAACTCTACCATGCATTGATATGGATGAGTCCATTATGGTCTACAGTGTTGAAAGGGTTAAGTAAAGGCAAGTTGATGAATACGTTTTGTTTAATTTTACAATAAAGTGATGTTACGAAAAGATTTCTCCTAGTATCGTACCTGAGGATAGAGAGACAGAAACAGCTTCCCTCCGAGTCCACCTGTATCCCAGAATGCACTACACCATTCCTTTCAAACTACAAAATAGAATGTATCAACAAATACAGAAAGTCAGAACATACCTCAACTCTTGTGTCAAAATTTGTCTATAAAGAATCAATGACAATGATGGAAGTGAACATGTTTGAGATGGGGATATATTCATGGTTTTTAGTGTTGAGTAAATCAGCACGAAGATATCAACCCACAAATATAGATAAAAAGAATATTATACATTTCAGAACAAATACTGAGGCAGAAATGTCCACACCACGATCAGTTAAAGGAGTCATAACGCGAAAAAAATCCACATGTGAAAATTTCCTATTTTACAGTATGAAAAACATTTAAGCTAATACTGCAAAATCATTTTTTCTCTCTGTTTTTGCTAAACCGATTTCCAGGACAAGACACTTCTGGGAATTTTTTTTTTTTTCTCAAATATTCATTTCATAGATAAATCACCATAAGTTTTGAAATAGGATCATGAACTCAAGTTTTCACATATAAAATATGCAGTCAGTTTGCAAATTAACATACAACCAAAAATGAAGTAGTTTATAATTAGAGCACTGTTGAAGTGGAGAAATTTCGCACTGTTCACATCATGACTCTTTAAACTATCGCAGTGTGAAAATGTTCATATTGGCAAAAGTTCTTAAAGGCTTATATTCTAAATATCTGAATTTGTAAATAAATATTCACAAATATTCAATATTTTTGTGCTATTTATTTGATGATAAAATCGTCAGCATTTCCATGTCGTGATTTTTTTTTTTTACTTTTACAGTACGCTGAACACTGTCTGTTATGTCTATTTGGAGTAGGGGTCAGCACTGTTATAGGACGGCATGCGTTAATGTTATCATCTCTTCCTCTTTTAAAATGTTAACTAGCAATAGAAAGTTACTTTATCAAATATGTTGGAGCATGTTGTATTATTGTATTGATGAATGTATTTGCTAATTGTATTAATTGTATATCTATGTACTGTAAAGGTCTTTAGAGTGACTTATGTTAGCTAGATAGGGCGCGATATCTATGTACTGTAAAGGGCTTTAGAGTGGCTTATGTGAGCTAGATAGGGCGCTATATCTATGTACTGTAAAGGTCTTTAGAGTGACTTATGTTAGCTAGATAGGGCGCGATATCTATGTACTGTAAAGGGCTTTAGAGTGACTTATGTTAGCTAGATAGGGCGCTATATCTATGTACTGTAAAGGTCTTTAGAGTGACTTATGTTAGCTAGATAGGGCGCTATATCTATGTACTGTAAAGGGCTTTTGAGTGGCTTATGTGAGCTAGATAGGGCGCTATATCTATGTACTGTAAAGGTCTTTAGAGTGACTTATGTTAGCTAGATAGGGCGCGATATCTATGTACTGTAAAGGGCTTTAGAGTGGTTTATGTTAGCTAGATAGGGCGCTATATCGAATGTTGTATATATATATATATATATATATATATATTTATGTTGATGCCTGCTTTTCGTAGATAAGTGAATTTCAATGATGTACAAATACCAATATCACGGAAAAATGTAATGGTTTGGCTTTGCCGGCTCTCAAATATATATTGACAGCATACAACAAAGCATGTGTACAGCACGGGCTGGCTGGGCCCTGTGTATCTGACAGCACAAAGCATGTGTACAGCACGAGCTGGCTGGGCCCTGTATATCTGACAGCACAAAGCACTGTGGAGTGTTTCCTACCTCGTGTCCCACAGCTACCAGCGGTATCCTCTCCTCACAGCTTGCCAATATGTAGGACAACTCTGGTACATAATACGCTGCTCCCTTTTGTCGCTTAGCATGCGGCTCTTCCATCTCACCAAGCAGGACCTGTATTGGGGAACATTGTTTAACAGGCGAAAAACATCCCAATTTAGCTTGGACATACTGAAAGTATACTCATTTTAGCGGTATTCGAATTTCAGCAGCTTTCGCACTACCTCTCGTCCACTAATTCATGTCTATCGCTTAAATTATACCATGTAGCATATAGGCTAACCAAGCTACAAAATGCAAGATACCAGTACGTCTAAAACATTCTAACTTCCAGAACACTTGACAGCTCTAAAACAGTCTTACATCATGTATATTCTTTCATTAAATTGCACAATATTCAAAAAGAAAAAAAATACCTTTCTTTTCCTTCTCTGCAGTTCCACTTCAGTTTCTTCATCATCATCTGAAAGGGCAAAATTTATTCTTTTATTTCTTTTTAATTTTATTGTATTAAATTATGGAGTTTGTCTTATTTGATTATCAGACTCCTTGGGTGTGGAGACAGGTAAATCTGACATTTCGTCCAAAGACATGTTGTCGGAAATTACACAAGTTTTCCTGTTAGGTCAGACTGTATATGATGTTATCAATTGCATAATCGGTTTATAATTTTATAGGGACTGAATGCTCCAATAAAGTGAAAACACTACTGTCACATCAATAGACAGAGTTGTTAACTATACACTAGGTTTTGTTCTTTTATGATAATTGCATTTCAAGCAACGTTTCTGCAGTTTGTTGATCATATAGTAAAAGTCATCAGAATATAAATGAGTTTTGATGCACACTTTTACTTCATATACATTAAATGCTTTGATTTCAATAATGAACCAATTATATCGTTTATGGAATTTGTAATGAATGGGCAAACCAATCGACTTTGAATCATAATTGATCACAAGCCCATCACTAATATGAGAAGTCTGATGACTTACCAAACACCTTACTGTAGGGACCATGTGTGAAGGCGAACGTGTCGAGGGGCAGCAGACGACCAGCTGACCTGAACAGCTTGGCTCCGATGTCGTCGGACAGGTCGAGTTCCGTACCATCGGCTGTACACGCCGTGGTCTCCACCAGGTAGTACTTGTACTCCACACATCGGTCTTTCTTCTCGCGCAGTGACAGCACCTACAATTAACAAGCACGTAAATCTGTGTGACCAACAATTACTGATTCAATGATAATTGCAGGGGCTGCAGTGGCCAAGTGGTTAAGGGGTCGGACAATCTGCTACCACTAGCCCTCCACCACTGGGTCACGGGTTTGAGGCCTACGTGGGGCAGTTGCCAAGTACTGACTGTTGGTAGGTGTTTTTTCTCTGGGAACTCAAGGTTTTCCTCCACCACCAAAACCTGGCACTTCCTTAAATGACCATAGCTGTTAATAGGACATAAAACACAAACAAACCAAACCAAACAATTTTAATTACTGTAACACTGCTCTCTGATGAGTGAAAACTGCATCATAAAAAGTGTGGTAAGATTCCAGTACAGAAACAAGATAAGTTCTTCTTCATTATTAAATCAGTTCAATAAATAACAGGTTACTTAAACAGTAAAAGAAAATCTATCATCAAAGTGAAGTTTTTTTGTTTCTTTATTTCATGCACAACTTGCACATGGAATTTCCCTGTCAAGATCACTAAATAAACTGAAGTCCTACTGATCCAACAATAACTAGCCTGGTTGTCCCAATATTCATCGATTGCTTCCAAAACAGTTCTATTTTTACTGTAAAATAATGTCTCAGTAATCAAAGGCCGCTTTCTTTGATCGGGATCCGATGCGTTGGACAGGAGATGTTCGTTTATGAAATATGGTCAGACCTAGTAATCTGATGCAGCTTTCAGGCAAGTCTTGACAAACATTTGCAGGTCCCCCAGGATTTATTCTTGAAAATGTTACATTTACTAAAAGACAAACCAGTTGTTACACATAAACGAACAGGCCCCAGCATTTTCAGTATCCAGTCAAATTTAGCTACGATCAAAGGTTACCAGATAATCGAAGTAAAACTGAATATAAAACCACACTACTCACCACANGTGACTATTCTGTCTTTGCGTATTGCAGAGTTATCTTCTCTTGTGAGCAGGTATTGATTGTTACGTCATTGGTTTGAGTGAGAAAATTACGTCGTTTTCTCAAAAATTGATGACGTTACTCTCATAAACATATGACGTAACAATCAATACCTGCTCACAAGAGAAGATAACTCTGCAATACGCAAAGACAGAATAGTCACGCTACACAAAATCTCCCAACTCACCACATAGTGACTGGACTGTTTGGGGATACGTATGTAAAGCCTGTGAGGCCCGAGAGTGTCCAGGGGATGGTTATCCAGATTGATGAGAGGCAGGTGGCGCAGACAACTTGTCTGCAAATACTGGATGGACTTTTCACACCGGAGTAAACACAGCTGTAGTCTGAAATAAAAATTCAAATAATAGATAATCAATAGATAATCGCATGTCTTAAATAGATCTCTCAAAATTTGATCCTCAGCAAACAAAATGCTGTAACAATGAACTTACTAATTGTCACTTTAAATTATTTCAGCACACATGGAAGGGAACAGACTTTTTTTTTTTAAATGTCCTACAAATAATGTCCTATGAAAAACAATGGTGTGCCCTATGTCAATACATATGGCGAATAATTGAAGATATTGTATTTTATTTAGTGTTTAATAATCTCCTACCAGCTGGTGGCTGAATCACAAGTTTTTACTTAATAGGCTTAACTCGTTCACCCCTAAAATTGCATAATGAACTATTTCAACCTTTGAGTTGGAAGAGTTCAAATGTGCCCTCTAGGGTGAATGAGTTAATAACACTATATACTGATGTATGGTACATGCTTGTAATTTGGTGTATAGGTGTATTCCTCAAAAAGTAAATTTGGATAGTCGGATGGCGCAGTGGATAACACACTTGCGTTTCACCAAGGCGGCCGGGGTTTGATTCCCCAATTGGGGACGTAAAAAGGTATGGGGGTCCCCTGCCCGACCATGTGGGTTTTCTACAGGTACTCTGGTTTCCTCCCACATAAGGACACGGTCCCAGTGTGCTGACTCCTGGGCCAACAAGAGTTTTTAATGTAAGTTGAAATAACTTGTTTCATACTTGTTGTAAAATAAATAAAGTCTATATTCATTAGGATACCACAGCTTTAAGGCCGATGACATAAAATCAAATGTCCTAAATGCAATTAAGTTAAGATTTCCGCAGTAAAGCGGAATACTTACCGTAGATTTACAATAAGTTTATCGAGTCCCTTCTTGTCGCTATTAAGACACTCTGTGATGTCATCAATGACCTGTAAATCTGAAATAATAAAAACATAATTGTTAATTAAGTACTTAATATACATTTGACACAATTTAAGATGGAAAGTCGTGTTTTTATAATCAGACGGAAATCAGATGATTTTTACAATGAAACAAGGGGATCAGATATCTTTACAATCAGATTGGTTATAAATGTTTGTATCTTTTTTTTCCCCATTGGACAGGTTTATCAATTATTTTACATCCTGTATACTGTGAAACTTACCTTCACTATTAAAATCTATATTTGCCAACGTTAATTTGGCCCTTCACAAGTAATGACTATAATTGTGCAGTATGCTGTACATATGAATATTCGCTTTCATGAAAAATTTGCCCCCCCCCCCCACTTTTTGAAGGGGATAGATTTGCTGGGATAGGATGACATAAATCTAGCAGTTTTCCTTCAAACAAGGCTCTGAGTATAATTAACTATGCCAGGGAAAGAGATTAGTCTGTTAGTGTGCAACGTTGACTGAAGTAAGGTGTGGAACAAGTACATAAAAGTATGTGAGAACGGCTATGTTTGGTACCTGTTTGTGCGGGAGTGGAGGCCATCATTGTGCCTCTCTGCGAGTCGATCATGATCCGGAGGTGCTCCGATTCCATACAGGGGTGTAACACGGGAATGTGGAGCGCTGTGGGAAGGTCCTTCATCTCACCTGCAGCAAACAAATGTTTCTTTGTTACATGTTGTAAATCCTTCAATTTCTTGCAGATAACTGTACAAAGCATCTGAACAACAAATGACCAGATGACACACACAATTTGTCATGGAATTTCAAGATTAGACTAAAATGTCATGTGGGATATGGATGAAACTAGGATCATGTAAAATATAATTCAATGCTCTTTTATTTTTACATGTCACCAATTTACAACTGAAGTAAACAATATTTACCTGTGTATCATGTCAATGCTATCACAAATCTTTTTTGAAATATTTAGTCATATTGAACACTCATTAATCATTGTGCTGCCAAATGTTCAAGAAAATTCTTTATATTTCTATTGAATGAAACCCCGTCAAATCATTAGACTGTACTTACATTTTTCCACTTTGTATCTTTTCATTTCTTTTGCGAGATCCTGAAATCAAAAATTCAACCATTCATGTTGAAAGAAGAAAAGATAGAATTTTTTCTCAATATTACTCTATGAGATTTAAATTTTTGTCATTGTTTTTAATATCTTCTTCTTCCTTTCAGCATTTGTGGGCAAAAGAGAAACATTGATTATACTTTTTTGTTACAACACAATATTTCGATCAAGATACTCAATTTGTTAACATATTTTCAGCATTAGACTACAACCCTTAATTCATCAACATGATTGGAACAGCTCTGGTGAAGACTCGTACCTGTAGCTTAGCGTGAGTCCGGACCTCTATCGTTTGCATCAGGAGTCGCTCGATCGACAGATGGGTACTCTGAAACAAGTAAACACAGGAAGGATGTGATAATTTTATTTGATAATAAACTAGATATTCATGGTAGGAAACTCACTGAATATTGGAAAATAATAAATTCCTAAATAATTTTATTTTGCGTGTGACAAACTTTTCATGGATGAGTAATTTTCACTTGGATTCAAGCTTCACTCTGCCTTGAGTTTGGATAATCTATATATTTACTGTTGTTGGAACATGCCATTCAAGCGCCTCAAAGATTTTATTTTTTTGACACCCTATTCACCTAGCCAATCTTAATATGCCATGTTACCTGAAACACACATAATATTTGTTTTGGTCCTAGCTGAACCCATTATCCAAATGACTATACATACCTTGATGGCCAGCCCCACTCTATGACTCTCCTCAGGAGACATGGGTGGGGTGTGGCTGATCTGTAATGGCCGGCCCCAGTCCTCCTCAGATACATGGATTGTCAATTTGTATACTGTAAATACCAATGTCAATTAACATTAAACCATTTTTAAGTATAACAAACAATCTGGTTGCAATGGACAAAATAGGATTTATAGTCTCCTTCCTCCAGACAAACTTTGGTATCGGAAATAAACGATTGTTTTTATTTTGTTTAACATCCTATTAACAGCTGAGGCCATTAAAAGATGTCGGGTGTGAGATCCAATAGCAGTAAGCAACAATCCACCATCCAAAGAAACACTCACATACAAAATATGAGAATTGTAAGTGAAACATTATATGAGATAAAACCCAGACAATTAGACCCACAGACTAATTGTAATGGACAGATGGAGGGAAAATTTATAGCCTTTTCAAGTAGTATTGGTGGGAGACTAATAAAGTGATACTATAAATGTATGGTGAACTTATCTTGACGGACTCAAACTTTTAGCGCGTTATCAAATTTTAACAGATATTATTGCATTGATCAATTGGTGCACTCACAAGATATATGCAGCAATAAATAATATACAGTAGCTTCAATGTGTTCAGCCCTAACTATTAAGCACTGTATTTAGAGCGGAAAAAGTGCTAAAATTAAAGTACCACTAAAATAGGTACATTTACAGTATTGGGCAGTGAGATTGAAAAATCTCACAACAGCTATATTGTAAGATTTACCTGTAAAGGGTATAGGAGAAAAGATGTTCAAGTATATACATTAATTTTAAGAAAACAGAATAATTTTAAACAGAACATTTTTACAGAGTGATCCAAACTTCTTTTGTGTATATACTGTATGTTGGGAAATTTTCGCCCTTCGCCGGTAAAATTCATGTTTGCCCAGCTTTAATTTCGCCCTTCACAATTAAATACTATGTATACTTTGTTGTGTACTACTATTCACTGTAATGATAAATTCGCCCTCATTACGGAGGGCAAAAAAGGCAAAAAAATAAACTGCAGCGAAAATTTCCCAGTAAACAGTATATATTTCTGTCACTCACCGACAGGTTCCTGTTGTGACTGTTGTTGCTGCTGCTTTTCTCGCTTCAACTGGTCTCTGTGAAACACAGATTTATATTTAATACACTGGGCAAATTCTTAATTAACAGAATTAAATTGGTATCCTTGCTTAAATTACAAATAACCCCCTCAAAATTGTTGAAGCCAATTTTATAAAATTTCAATCCTCCTTTAATGTTTTCCTCCAGATCTATCCCTGATCACAACACTGACATCATATATGTATATATAATTATTTTTCTGTAGCCTTCCAGAAAAAGGGGGTATGATAGCATTTCCATTTCAATGCAAGCAAAACCTACAGGCTGATACTCAAAGAATTATCCTTATTCATCACTAAAGCTTGGATGAGGGGGGAATTCTTCAAGGTATGAAGAGACTCTCTGAAATACCCCTGCCTCCCTCCCTCGCATGCATTTACTTTTGGAATAGTCCTATATCATTACTTTTAAGAAATCTAGCTTTTACCGAAAGGATGTAACAATTAAATGATTTTCCAAAGACAATGACAATTAACTACCTATCACTGCCATACCAGGGTACTGAAATATCTGTATCATCTAGCTGGCCAGATTTTTAGAACACATTCAAGCTTTTATATGAAATACTGTGAAATAAATATATCTTTCTGTTGGAGTTTTGTTCAACATACTGTTCACCAGATAATTCCAACAGCCTATGAATCCCTTGATTTTTTAACGAATTACGTATACTTCTACAGTATACTGGTTACTGCAACTATTGGATTACAACACGTACCTCCAGTAGGACACGACGAGTGATTTGCCGACCAGGTATTCTTCCACACGTATACTGTCTCCCATTCGCTCCCTGATCAGTCTCTGCGTCTGTAAAACACACACACAAATTTGAAAGATAACGCTGGCTCATCCATTGGCACAGATATATTTACGCTACCACATACCGGTATTATCCCCTTCGTTTGTAGATTTTCAACACAGAAACTATACTTCAATATCTACGTTCCTACGGTAATCAAAAGTTCTTATTCATATTTTAAAATATACCCTGAAAATGCACTATATGCCAGTTGCTTGTTTGAAATTTACTTTTTAACTCTCAACCCATAGTGTACTGTTTTCAAGTGATTTGTTCAAATTAGTACAATTAGCATTCAGAAAAACAGAAAACGTTATAGATTTCAAGTCACAGTTGAAGACGACATCAAAATAGTTACCTGTGAATTCAGCACCTCAAGCTGTAGTGACTGGCAAAACGAATCTTCACAAAAGTTAAGGTCAATTACACACAAGTTAACTAAACTATTACCAGTACACCAACACACTAACATACACAATACAAAGTTTTATTATATTACCTGATATTACCTGTTTATCTATAAACACTATAATATAACTCATAATATTTGATAGATGATTTACATCAATATATCACCCTAAATGGCGATTTTTTTTAACTTTAGTTTTGAAATATGTGTATGTTGTTCTGATGACGGCCCACCTAGTAGGCCAAAACATGTAAACTGGATTAGATTTGCCGAGACTCCTCATTTGATGTTATCTGGTCATCTCTTCTTTCAAGTTTCAATGATTCGTATGGCCAGAGCAGTGAATTACATTTAGGAATCCATCAACTGGGATATACAGAACTCATAAACATATATGATATTTTCAAAGCTACCTACATTTTCATAACATGTATTTTCTTTTTATATAATGAAAATCAATGCCGTGTTCAGTTATTATGCTTATATTTGAACATAAGTGCTTTAATACTGATTATTTTGTCCAACCCTATCTTCAGGTTGAAAGGTCTAGATTGTATATATAGTTCATATAGCACAACCAGTGTAATGTTTATGTGACATTTCAATGACTTGTATGACATATTCTCTGTCATCTTCATCAGACAAATGACCAGTAAATTGTATGTACACTAAGGACTGTTCCAGAAATAACAGTATGGAGGGATGGGAGGCACTTTTTCAGACCCCACCACCTATAATATAATTATGCAGGTGCCTCCCACCTCCCCCATACAATTAATTATGGAACAGCCCTAAGGTGTAAAACATGTATGAGTCAGCCAAATTAAAATCACAATCAATTCATATATCACTGTACACATGCTTTACTGGTCATTGTAGAATGTTTGGCTGAAAGGATACGAAGCACCCTATAAAGGTCGTGAATCGGTCGGTCGTTGTCAAGGAGACGGGACTGGGCCAGCTGGTGAATGTAATTCACCTGAAATAACAGAAGTGAAAAATAATATACACAGAAACTCACAATTCTGTAACATATCTAAGGTAAATGCTTAAAGCCAAGAGGAATACAGACATAAATTTACTTAGCATGGCATTTTCATCAAATTTAACAAAATATTAGATGACACACATTTGTCTTACATCCTCATTTGTTGAATCATAATCATGTGGAGGTTGATGATTTGTGATATTGACCCGTTGTTATTATTTTTAGAAACTGTAGGTCAATATTCACTTTATGATGTCATTTCAATTGTATCGTCACAATTCTCTCTGCCCAACGCAGTGTTTTTTCTCTCCCAATTTTCATACATTCTGTTTTTTTAAATGATTAGAAGCATTGTTTATCATCTAACAAGCCAATAAAGACTTTTATTTTGGTGAACATGTGGTTATATGGACCTGACAAAAATTGTATTGACCTCGACTTCGTTTAAGTCAATATTACTTTCTCAGGATCATATAACCATATATCCACCTCAACAAAGTCCATAATTCATAATTATACTTTATTCATACTGATATATTTCTTACTACAATGTACTGTAGACACACTTCACACCAAGAAATTAATTTAAATTCATTTCCCCTGAAAATCTGCAATATGGTCTTCCTTACCTGTAATGAATGTACCAAGGACTTGCCATCTGGAAGTGAAAAGGATTGTAATATTAAATAGATAATTTATTTTAAAAAATCAATAAATCAGTACACTGAGAAATTATTTGACTAGAAAATGTTTATTAAACACACATATGCTACCACTTCTGTTTTGATAGAATTAGAACTAAAAACAAAGTCTTACCAAAGAAATGGAGCTAAATGCAAAGTCTAACCAAAGTCAGTCAAGCATTAAATGTAGGTCACAATGACCTACATTTTCTAAATTGGTATACGTGTAATTTTCCCCAAGATGTGTCCATAAATGAAGCTTGATGACTGGTTGACTTGTAGTATCTGAGAAATGGAACTGAACGCCCAAAGTTTAATTAAGATGTAAAGTCTGACCAACCGAACTGGCAAACACTAAATGCCCCATTCACTATGTTATGAATTGATGCCATCTCCCAAAAGTCTAATATAATCTCAATTTTGACAAAACCTTTAAATAAGATTACCATGTATTACATTCCTGAATATATTTGACCTCAGTTTGTTGGACTCCTTCTCCAATTCTGCCATTACAGTGTATCTTCCACGTTTCTAGACATCACTAGTTACACAATTTGTAGACATCACTACTTATACGATTTCTAGACATCACTACTTACTGCCCGTTTCTGGGTCGTCCACTAAGATGTTGATATCCAGTAATCTCCAGGGAATTGTCGGACTGTCACCCATCAAGGTCAAAGTCACCTGTGTAAATTAACTCAAGGTCAACAGGTTGCATAATATCAGTTTTGGGACAGATATTTATCAATGACATTGACTGGAAATTAAAGAACCAAAATTATCGACTGGGAATGACTTAGGAGATTAAAAGTGAATGATAAAACGGCAAAAAAATAAAAGATTTAAAATATTTTGTTTCATTTATAAAATCACATTTAAACAAATGGGATCAATTTCATGGATTAACAATAAATTTTGCTTATATTCAGGCCCTTTCATAAATTTTGTATAATTAATCTTACCTCAAATTCATGTTCCACAACAAACTTCACACGTCCATTCTCTGTAATTCAAATATTTGTTATATAGTCAAACGCTACATTTACCAAACAATGATTAATAAGTTACACATAGTTTCTAAGACTTCAATTATTTTTACTCCTGTTTTCTGGCTCTGCAGTTACTTTTTTCTGAAATCTTTATTTATTTTACAATCATTTTACAACCTATATCAAACCCTCTTGTTGGCCTGGATGTTAGCTTGCAGGGGGTCTTAATGTGGGAGGAAACCGTAGTACCTGGAGAAAACCCACAAGGTTGGGCAGGTGACCCTATATATTTTTTAATTCGATTAAGGAATCAAACCTCCAGTCACCTTTGTGAAAGGCGAGTGCGTTATCCTCTGCGCCACCTATCAGTGCAGTTACCTGAGGACAAGGTAGCTTATGTGTTATAAAAGAGTTGCAGAACATTGTATTTGGCTTCCTTTGATTTGTTGGGGAGGGTTTTAGTCACCAGACAGTAATACATCACCTGTGCCAGTAATCTCAGTATATAGGAGTCTTATTTAATACGAGGTACTGTAGGTACATACCGACTCGTAACTTCCTCATCTGCTGGGGGAGATCTGTGGATACCAGGCGGTATTGTATCACCTGTGTCAGTGATCTCAGTATATGGGTTTTATTTACGAGGTAGGTACATACCGACACGTAACTTCCTCATCTGCTGGGGGAGACCTGTGGATACCAGGCGGTATTGTATCACCTGCGTCAGTGATCTCAGTATATGGGTTTTATTTACGAGGTAGGTACATACCGACACGTAACTACCTCATCTGCTGGGGGAGATCTGTGGATACCAGGCGGTATTGTATCACCTGTGTCAGTGATCTCAGTATATGTTTTTATTTACGAGGTAGGTACATACCGACACGTAGCTTCCTCAGCGGCTGGTGGAGATCTGTGGATACCAGCCGGTAATGTATCACCTGTGTCAGTGATCTCAGTATATGGGTCTTATTTACGAGGTAGGTACATACCGACACGTAGCTTCCTCAGCGGCTGGTGGAGATCTGTGGATACCAGCCGGTAATGTATCACCTGTGTCAGTGATCTCAGTATATGGGTTTTATTTACGAGGTAGGTACATACCGACACGTAGCTTCCTCAGCGGCTGGTGGAGATCTGTGGATACCAGCCGGTAATGTATCACCTGTGTCAGTGATCTCAGTATATGGGTCTTATTTACGAGGTAGGTACATACCGACACGTAACTACCTCATCTGCTGGGGGAGATCTGTGGATACCTGCCGGTACTGTATCACCTGTGTCAGTGATCTCAGTATATGGGCTTTATTTACGAGGTAGGTACATACCGACACGTAACTACCTCATCTGCTGGGGGAGATCTGTGGATACCAGCCAGTCCTGTATCACCTGTGTCAGTGATCTCAGGATATGGGTGTTTTACTTACGAGGTAGGTAGATACCGACTCGTAACTTCCTCATCTGCTGGGGGAGATTTGTGGATCCCAGCCGGTACTGTATCACCTGTGTCAGTAATCTCAGTATATGGGTGTTTTACTTACGAGGTAGGTAGATACCGACTCGTAACTTCCTCATCTGCTTGGGGAGATCTGTGGATACCAGCCGGTACTGATACGAGGTACTGTAGGTACATACCGACTCGTAACTTCCTCATCTGCTTGGGGAGATCTGTGGATACCAGCCGGTACTGATACGAGGTACTGTAGGTACATACCGACTCGTAACTTCCTCATCTGCTGGGGGCGATCTGTGGATACCAGGCGGTATTGTATCCCCTGTGTCAGTGATCTCAGTATATGGGTCTTATTTACGAGGTAGGTACATACCGACACGTAACTACCTCATCTGCTGGGGGAGATCTGTGGATACCAGCCAGTACTGTATCACCTGTGTCAGTGATCTCAGTATATGTGTTTATTTACGAGGTAGGTACATACCGACTCGTAGCTTCCTCATCTGCTGGGGGAGATCTGTGGATCCCAGCCGGTACTGTATCACCTGTGTCAGCTTTGATAATGTCAGTCGCTTTTCTGCCGGTGTGATGGAATCTTCGGGAACAATCTTTTCCTGTTGTTGACAAAAGGATCAAAATATACATAGATATCATTACCTAGGTCTCATTACAAATAAGTGTAATTTCTTTTTTCCTGAGTACATGTAGTAGCAAATAAACCTAAAATTTTGAGGCTGGGGACATCCACAAGTCAAATGTAGAGGGTAGTGCCCATTGCTCATCATAATGGTTTAAAGTAAGGCAAGTCTCATTTGAAATGAAATATACAATGCACTGGGTCTGTTGATATGTACCAGCTATGAATGGCGTTACAAAGATATTTTGAACATTTTTGACAGATATTTGGATTTTGTTAATCATCAATTCTTCAAAAGCTGGTGGTTTTTTTTACCATTACCAAAATTCTTCAATCACTTTAAAATGAACAGTATATATATTTGCAAATTAACTGTTGCATCAGGACAACTGGTCTAGAACCATTTTATTTGCATTAAAGTTTGATTTCATATATCACTAGTAGTTTCTTAATAACGGTATTCTAAAACCACAAAACATAATGTCAGACCAAATATTGCAATTCTTTACCAGAGGTACTGATATTTTCCTCTAAAGGATTATAAAAACAACCCAAAATATTTATCTCAAATTAACATCTTGGCAAATATTTGTCAGTAATTAGACAGTATCCTCAGTGGGTTTTTTACCTAAATTTTACAACAGCCTGTTCCTTTATGAATTGGGAAAATATAGCTTTATTTTCATTGAAATCAGGACTATATCTATCATTTTTGTGTCATTTTAAGAAAATAAGACACTTTTTAGCTACGGGAAACAGCCTGTATTCGGCTGTAAAACTGAGCAAAACAAATCACTGATCCTGTACATATGACCGTACCCTTATACAGGTAGGCAGCCTCGGATAGGTTCCTAGCGTCAGCACATCTATAGCACAAGGGATGGAAAAGTTCGGTAACCTGAAAATACCAAAAAATACTTATTGATACTTTTATAACAATGACTTTAGAGTCATTACACTTTTGTATTATCAACTATTTGTGTCTCTGGACCCCTTCCCCTACCAATACATTCATAACTGAAATAACCCTAATGAATTATAAATTTCTTACTCATTTTTCAGACAAGTTTGTTATATGGCATTATTTATTTATTTTTGTGTGTTAAAACCAAAATATCTAGTTGAATACCAGATTCCACTCTTTTCTCCATTGAATATTCATGAGGACAGCAAATACAATCATCGATACTCCAGGGGTTATGATCACTTTAGCTCTCTGCACCCCTGGAATATGTCATTATCAAATTGAAGGCGCAGTGTGCATTACCTTGTGGATGAGACCTTTGTAATCTTCAGATTGATTGGTCAGGTTTTTACAACTGAGACCAATCAAATAGCTAGCTGCTTGCCTTCAATTTTGCTATGACTTTTTCAAACGGTTGCAGAGAGTGAAAGTGAGCGTAACCCCGGTATACAAAGTAAAACATTTCAATAAAAGTATTTTTGCAGTTTAAGGTGTGATGTGTAAGAAATTATTGTATTGGCACATACCTGGCATTGACCAAAGTTTCTCTGGCCATTTTCGCCAACATGTCCGCTGTATCTACAAACCACATGGACTGCTGCTCCAGCAAGTTACAGATCTCCTAAAACAAAGCAAATCACTTTTTGTTAGCCAATATTTCTTCCCTTTTTTTTTACATTGGTGAATCCTTCTTTAAAGGTGAACATTCTTTGATCTCAGGCACTGAATGATGTAAATATTTCCGTTTGCAATATGTTATCGTTTGTTTATGTATACTTTTTCTATTTCTCTAAATCCAGAATTTACACAAAACTGAAAACATTTTAAGCAAACAATTTTGAAACATTAATATCAAGAATTTGGATAATTGAATCTCATTCATATTATCAGATTACAGCATGTGAAATTTTTAGAATATATCGAATGGTAAATAAATTTAACTTTAACTTGTCTTTCTTGACACAATCAGTTTAAACCAATTTCATTACTGTTACCCATTGACTGACATGATTGATGTGCGGATGTATATATCAATAAGAATTCAATGTATAATAACATTTTTCCCCATTCAACCCTATATTATAATGGTACATATACTTCCTTCTTTTTCTTCCACTTCTATGCTCCTATCCTGATCTCATTTATAAAAAAAAATCAGTGTGGCCCTGTATAGGACCTTGTTGTGTTGACAGGCAATCTCATATACATTTCTTTATCTACATGTACTATATTTATCACTGTCACCATAGGAATACTATTATGTTATGTGCTTTAAAGCGCCTTGGAGCTATTTTGCAAATTATATAGGGCGCTACACAAATGTATATTATTATTATACTTTTATAGAACTGGTATTGTTTTTTATGGGGTCCGAAATGTCTGAAAAAAATAAATATTTCCGTAATACCACCATAAGTACACTTCTGTACTACATGTACTGTGGGCATACTCCTGTCTTACTTACGGAGCATTTGTCTACTTTCGTAGCACTGCTAGCCCACTTCACAAGAGCCAGCAATCGAATGAACAACTGCCTCGTTCGTGTGGCAAATTGAACAATCTCAATTTTCCTGCAAAATAATAGTCACAATTAGTCTGGGATTTGAACAGTTTATAAAAGTGAACCAAACATTAATTTATACATTCTTATATACAGTTCTAGATTAATGTAATACTTTTTTTTTTTAAATCATTACTTTGATGATAGTTGAATGATTTGCAAATCTTTTTTCAAGAATTGGTTAAATTATTTCATAATACCATGAGCATAAGTTTGATTTATAAATCAAATTTCAATACCTCTCCATGTCTGTTTTTCTGGGTAACCTGGAATTGAAAATATACATTTTTAATTTTGCTATTAAAACTGAAATTTAAATTTGAAAATTAAGGTTTTGGTGTAAGACACATACATTTTTTTATTTTGCACAAAAAACACATTATAGTGATTTAAATTGTTAACCTATATTCATCGAACTTGTACAAAAATATGTATAATAAAACTGCTAGTCTGAATTTTTTTTTGAATCAATGTTAAGCGATGAGGAACTATGAGTGATTTTTCTACCTACTTTTTACAGGGGCCTGTACGTGCCTTGTGACTTTGAAAAAATATTACATTCATGAAGCATGATTTTATAAAAATAAGTGATTTTTTGCATCGACTTTGGGCAATACAGCAGAAATTTTCTAGGGAAGGTGCCTTTTAAAGACCCAAAGTTCACCTTTAAAATTCTCTTGAGGAACTAACTCAAATTTAATGATAGCATTGAAATCGATTCAAAACAGTTTCACAGACACTTACAGCTCTGACAACACAGTCAAGTCATGGTAGGTACGCTGGATAATGTAGTTAATGAGGATGTCCAGGGCTATTGTTCCTCCTCCCTGAGGGACCCCTGGCACCTGCATCTGCCCATCGATCGGTGGCATCTCAACTCACGTCCTATCTGTTGATATCTGTTCAAGTAATTAATGCAATATTTCATCAATTATCTAGACATTGATCTCACCACTGTATATTCAAATTCATGAAAACAATTATGTAAAGCAACCAGGTTTGTCAGCCCAGGACTTTTCTTGAATGTCTTTTTCACTCCTCCTCCACTCCCCTCCTTCTCTTTTATCAAACTTCTTTCCCAATTGGAAATAACATGCCTACTTAAATGCTCAGCAAACAAATACCATTATTTAAGTGTTATAAATTACAAAAAATTACCCCATTCTAAAACATTTTTCTTCTTGTAAAAATGTTATCAAGAGCATATGGCGGCATTTATAAAATAATTACTTTAAAATGAAGCAGTTTTGCTCTGGTTTCATGTTCAATATTTTCCAATTCTAAAATTATTCCATTAAATAATAGTACTAATTTTGTGCCAAGAGCATTTTAACCAAGACAGCTAGAAAAAATGTTCGCTTAACCTGTGCCAGTATGCATGTTGAAACCATATATAGTTCAGAGTAAAGAATGGCTGCATATGACAAAAGTGCTTCCTATTAGAATTGTTAAATTTCTGCAGTTGTTTTTCTCTCCTCTTTTAGCATTAATTCCCTGGATTGAGGGATCACTTCATGTACATCATACCTCTGCCTCTATGTCCACTTTTTATATCAGGAGGTAAGACATTGCAAGTGATCAAATAAGATACATCTTATAATGTAACTTATATAATTCTGAAAATAAAATGAATAAATTATGAAATTGATAATTTCATATATCAATTTCATATATCTTACAATTATAAATCATTATAATTTGAGTAATAATAGGGTTACATTTGCGTATTCCGGTTTAAATGGTTCAGGTGGCGCAGAAATATTCTACGATAAACAAACGCACTGGGACCGAACTATTGGCAGAGCTTAAAATGCACAGTTTCGGAGAATAAATAACAATGTATCAAGAATATTATATAGCCCTTCTTTCACACGTCCACTTAAGTAGTTTCGGTCAGGTACGTCTGGACCCCCAAATCTACATTCCTGAGGTCAGCCTTGGTTCAGATCTGCACCTATCGTTTTCTTTCTAGGTTTAACCGTTTGAACAGGTTGAACCAGATACGTGAAAGGGGCCTAGATCTATACCTAGTTCCTTTAAACCCCAAGGGAGATAATTATCTCAAAACATGGGCATTACCTCACGAGTTAGATACACAATTTCTGCTGATTAATAGAGGCATGAAACAATATCAGTTGATAATTTACTATGTTCCTCGTCAAAACATCAAATTAATATAAAAAAACAACACATTTGAAATGAATGACACATGTACACGGACGGTTAACATTGTCAAACAAATTACTGTACAACATATGTGTAGTACCATTTACAAAACAGTTCATATGTATTCACTTGTTCAATCGCAAACCTATCACCAGTGAAGTAGATGATTAGAATTAAGACTTAACCGAATAGTGTAAAAACTAGACAAATGATCCACACAATGAAAGGCAAAATAAATGTTGGTGAAGCATATTTATGATATTACAATATTGATAACTGTGACGGATTGTAATTGGACTGTTTTCTGACAGAATAATTACAACTATCATATTTAACGACTTTTTCTGGTTTTACAGAATAATCTCATATATTTCATAATATATCATCTTACCTGCAACCTTCAAAACAAGAAGATTATTTTCGAGACAAAATTTCGTTTCACGTTTACGGTGGCCATTTTTCTAATCAACGTCTTCTGCCCGCTCTGTGTACAGAACTGTCGGAACAAAGCGTTTGTATGACTAATTACAAATTCGGGCACCGGCTTAAAGGAAGATAACTCTGTTACTCTGTTTTTCTCAACTGCCAATATTGGAGAAAGTTGAAAGACACAAAAACACCCTTTGATGTGCTTTGCTTTTAAGTGCATGTTATCAGTGTGTAGGTGTGCTTGAAATTATTTGTAATTTGGTTTGATATAAGACAGAAATCACATCATTTGACAGTCCTCATGTGCAGTAACGAGCACTCTGTCAATGAACATATATTGAATATACTCGGTATATATAACGTTAACTTATATCTCTATGTCAAGCAAAATTAACAGTTTTTACATATACAAATAAAGTGATTTTTGATGTATCTAATAACAACAAATGGTCTGGTAGATGGTCATTACGTAACATTTGTTTGTCCTGTTAAAGTCGCAGTTATATAAGTTTTATAACTTGTCCTTTTTACATTCATTTTTTCACACAGATCTTAGGATGAAAAACACAGAATTTAGCTCCATACTCTGAATACAAGAGACAAAATGCATGTAAAGATAGGGCGACTGTTATCCCAACCATTGTTGAAGCGCCAGCAAGGTTTAACATGTTCAAGGCTGCAGTACTGGAGGAGGTATGCTTCAACAGAGGCAGAAAGGAAACCATCACCACGAGCAGTCATGGGATCGTGGCAGATGCATGATTATGGTGGTCCTAAATCTTTGACGTTTTCCTCCACTGCACGTGTCCCACGCATACACAGCCCGAACGAGGTGTTGGTGGAGATACATGCAGCCAGTGTTAACCCGATAGATGTACTCATGACAAGTATGACATCATCAAATCTGTCTGTAACAGCCGTAGTATTTAGAATTCTAAATGCTAAATTCATGTAAAGATTTATCCCTTCAGGTTTTTTTTTTAAAAGTGTCCTGAAAACCAATTTCATAATCACAATCTTGGTTTGGGGCAGCGATGGCTGATTGAAGGCGTTTGACCGTCTGCGTTCAGTGAAGCCGCCAGTTAAATATAAATATTTTACAACAATTATCAACAAGTTTAATCAATCTTGGTCTTGATGGAAGAGCATAGGGGGCTTTATATGGGAGGAAACAGGATTACTGGTTTGGTGGTATATCATGCAGGTACACATGGGCCTACACTTGGTCACGCATTTAAGGCCAGTGTAGAACAGTTTTGATGGTTTTTCTGGGTTTTCCTGAAACCTTGTCATTCTTAAATGACCATAAATGTAAATAACATGTAAATTAAGTGATAACAAATCAAACAAATCAAATTGATTACATTAATTCTTGTTAAAAAAAAAAAATATCCTTTCATTCCACTGTAAAGCCAATGTGTTGTAACTGAATTGGCAATCATACCTTCTTGTATGTTGTTAGTTTTGAGCTGTGATATGGGGCTGTCAATTATATTATATTTTTAAATATGAATAATTCACAGATTCAACAAGCCAGCTAAAATCTAGACTTTATATAACACTTCAGACCATTTAATTCATATCTCAAGCTTTCAGTCTGTTCAGATAAAAAATGTTTGTAGTCAAATAGCATAATTTTGAATAAATTCTCATTTTGTTATTTTTTCCAACAGAGGGTTATGGAAAGGACATTTTGAATGTCATGAGGGGCAATACCTCCCCTATATCAACAGCTGCAGAGTTTCCTCTGGTCTTTGGCCGTGACTTTTCTGGGGTCATCGCTCAAAAGGGAAAGGCTGTGCGCAACTATAAGGTTGGAGATAAGGTATGTTTCATAAATTCAATATTAATTGTCACAAAAATTCACCTAAATGTTTGTCAAAGCTGTTGGAGATAACAGGTAGGGGGAGGGGTTCACGATAAAAATCTTTATTCAAGTTGAAGTGTATGTATTAACAGTTTAATATGGTGAAACAAAACAGAAAAGATGTTGAGATAAAAGTAAACATGATTAACGATCACACACTTTAATAACAATGTTATACTGAGGTCTTGTCGAGAGAGAAAAAAGGTTGCTTAACTTTTATAATTGGAAGAAAAGCTCAGAAATTAAAGAAAAACCTACAAAGTGAAATAAAAAAAAAACAATTTCACAACGCTTTATCTCTGGAAACATGTTTATTGAAAATGTCTTTATTAACATGTTACAAGTAACAGAGAAACCTAATAATATATCTGTAATAGTCACCAAAACTTTGTATTTTGTACCATTTTGTATCAAATCTGTTATATTTCTAAATTAATTTAACCTTTTTTTCATTTTGAACTTGAACAGGTTTGGGGAACTCTTGGTGGTCAGAAACAAGGATCTCACGCTCAATTTGCTGTTGCTGATCTAAACGAGGTATCATAACTGTAACTAGGACTTTTTGGGGCAAAATTGTAGTCCTTTTTCTTTCCCTAATATCACTTTATTTCACCCATAGAGGTATTTAGTCAGCTGATTGATAGGAAGGTTTAAGGTACATATGTCACTCAGACAGCTGAAAGTTGAAACCTTGATTGTCCCCGTCTACCCAGCTGTAAAAGTCAGTAGTGGTGTTCTCCTGAGGAAGACCGAAGTCCTTCCAGGAGGGAATCTGTGACCGATTTACTTGATACTAGAAATACTTCATATTTCATCATAAGGGAGAGAAACTGTGGAAATCTGCAAATGTTATATCCTTACATTGACTCCAATTGGACAAGATGATAAGGTAAAATACCATTTTTTAAGCTGTCTTATTGATAAATTATTTGAATTTGAGCAAATTATAATTGCCAGATATTTCAAAAATTTAAAAAAAAAACAAAAAAAAGGAATTTTGGGTCTGCATTTGTCCAAGTGGTTAAGGCGTCTGACCGTTTTACAATTACTAGCCCTCTGCCAATGGCTAGCGGGTTTGAGGCCTGAGTGGGGCAGTTGCCAGGAACTGGCTGCAGGTTGGCGGGCTTTCTCTGGGAAGTCCAGCTTTCCTCCACCACCAAAACCTGGCACATCCTCAAATGACCATAGCTGTTAAAAGGACTTATAACACTGACAAACCAAACCGAAAATGAGAGTAAAGAATCCTGACCAATCACTAGGCTCAAACCTGTCCTTTGAAGAATACAAAAAAGCCACACCCAAATTTCAAAACCAGTCAATTTTACCGTTACGCAATCAAACTAGAATTCCTGTCTCATCCACACTTAGTCTTTGATTTGTCATGACATATTCCAGGGGTGCAGAGAGCAAAAGTGAGCGTAACCCCTGGAGTATCAAGGATGAATTAAAATCATATACAGTGTATGTTTTGACAGAAAGGTCTGACTGTGCAATTATCACAAGTGTAATAATCTGTCTAATATAATATCTCTGTCTCCTTTGTAGATTTCTAAGAAGCCTAAGTCTCTCAGCCACACGGATGCAGCATCTATACCCTATGTAGCGGCCACAACATGGGCAGCAGTGGTGCAAGTCGGAGAATTAAACTCTAAAAATACACAGGGAAAAAGGTTGGTGTGATTTTTCGTGTCAGAAATGTTCTTGCTATAATTTTTGATTTTTTTATGAACGATGTATTTGCATCTCCTTCATGTGTTGTACTTGTAGTTGTACTTGTACATTTTAAAAGATTATTGAAAGTGTTCTTTTATTAAGACATTATATTGTGACAGAGTCAGGTAGCATGTATTCTTAATTGAGAGTTTTTATTTTTTTTCCATAATAATTTATACATTTTTGTACTTTCATGAATATTCATTATTTGTCAAAATATCATTTCTGTTTAATTTTGATTATAAAAAACATGTTTTATAATTATGTTCATGTGAAAACTGCAAACATAATACTGTAATAATAATAATCTTGGTATACAGAGAAATAATGTCATTTGGCAATAAAAGAACATTAACAAGAAGAAATGTGGATTATTTACCCAGTATTTATATTTCAAAGGGAATTTACAATTAACAAAATACGTATACATGTATATGACGTGAAAAATATTTTTTTGAAATCTTAAATATTATTTTCTAGCAGGAAATTGAGTATTTTTCTAGAATTCATAGCCCTGTCACTGCCTTCATAAGACATCCATGTTTGTTTTATTTCCATCAGTGAAATATCAGGAATTATCCGTTTAATAAATGCTTGTTCTGGTACACCTTTGCAATACAGTATGTTATTCACAAAATCACACAATTGATATCATTTTTATTTGGAAATCTTACCAGATGATAGCAGCAAATGGCAGAATTGGGTTGAGTAAGCCATTAAAAACGGCACTTTGCCTTGTTGTCAGGCTGCTAATTCCTGGGTTTTTTTCCCTCGATGCAGCAATTTGCTTTGTGTTACTTTAAAAAATGAAATAATAGAAAATTTGAAGGTTTCCTGTTTGAATGCGATATATATATTTCACTCATATGACAGAATATGCCCATATTTTCACTCAAGCTTCATCCCACTCCTGAAAAATATAAATATTCTGCCATAGGTACTTGTGAAATGGGTATTCAAGGGGAAAGCATTAAATATTTTCTATATATTAAATGAAACAAAAACATGCACACTCTATTTTAATCCTAGCAAGTAACATGTGATACTCTTCCGTATATATGAATATTTTCTGTTTATGACTTTTCAGGATTCTGGTTCATGGTGCCTCCGGTGGAATTGGAACTTTTGCAATACAGGTACTGAAAATGTGGCATTTTGAAACCATAGCTATTTTTTAAAAATGTCGTCTATTATATATAATAAATTGATCGTTTCATTTCTCATTCAAATGTTGATGCTTTTATGCATCACAAAGTTTGTGCTTGTTGGGAAATATTTTAGTGAGAAGATGATATTATTATTTTTTTTTGCTTCCTGAAAGTATTTCTCTTTTTGTGTTTTTTTTTATGTTTATTTCACATGAAAACATCAAAAAAAAATTAACATGAAGGGCAGACCCAAGGGAATCAATTTAAGTCAATTATTCTAAATCCCTGTTAAGAGGTCCATACTAGTTTCCCTTGACACTAAGAGTCAAACCTCGACCTACCAGCACACAGCAATAACAGCACTGGAAATTCTCAAGATTTAAATATCATTTTGTAAGAAATGTAAAATAGTCAATAATCCAATAAAAAAAAGAATTGTTTGATAATCTTTTTTTCAGAAAAAAATAATTTTAATGCATATATCAGATCTTGTTTACAAAAAATATGTTAATTGTTGGTCGTTGTGGAAAAGTCAGCAGATAACGAAACAAACATTTTTTCAGTTGTTGAAGGCGTGGGGAGGCCATGTCACCGCTATTTGCAGTACAGATGGGAAAGATCTTGTGCGGGACTTGAGGGCAGATGCTGTAATCGATTACAAAACTCAAGATCCAAAATCTGAACTGCTGCAGATGGAAAAGTAAGTGTTGGTTTGTTATTTGGAATTTCATATCTTCACAACACTTAAAGTCAAAATACCATCACACTAAAATATTTTGTCGCTTGGACATGGTAGCAGAATACTTGGTTACATTATTCTGACACCCGGCTAGCCAAAGTTCCATAGGGAGACTTTGTCACTAATCAAATTATAAAGATAAATTCATATAAGTTAATCAACAAAATAAACCATCATATTTTAGTTAAAGATGGAGTCTCCCGTCACTTTTTACGGAACAGTTTTCTGTTTTGGACAGGTGATCAGGTGATAACTCCAGTCAAACCAGTGTAAATAAAATAGATGATAAATTTCCTCGTGCTCAACAGGAGTTATCACCTGAAAACCTGACCAAAATATGAAACTTATATTAACATTATTTTTCTGTGAATGTTAATAACATATTAATGTAACAAAAATGTCTCAGGGGGAAGTTTTATTGTAATATTTTTGTTTTTCTCAGGTTTGATTTGATATATGATCCACTTGGAAAGGAAAAGGCAGGTTATTCCATCGAGTTCCTGAAAAACTGGAAAGGTGCCAAGTTTGTTACCATAGCATCTCCCCTCCTCCCGGAGACCGACAGTCATGGCCTCCTGCCCGGGGCTCTCAAGTGGGGAGCTGACCTAGGACTCAACATTCTCCAGGTACATTTGTTCACCCATTCACCCCTAAAGGCACATTTTGAACCTTTCCGTACCTTTCCGTATCAAAGTCTGGGCAAGTCCAGTTTAAAAATGTCAGGGTGAATGAGATAAATAAAGGATATTTGAGTTACCATAATAGGTATCAGGACATTTTAGAAAACGGTTTCAAATTTAGACATATGCTTGTAATTTAATATTCTTCAAAATTTGAATATCCGTGTTTCAATGTTTAAAAACTATGTTATCATTACTTCTTGAGTTTTCATCAGACATCAATTGACTGAGAGAGATTGAGAAGAGGGTATTTCACATAATATTATATTTTTGGTGCGGAACTCTAGGTTCAGTTTTGGAGAACAACTAAAACAAGGATTTTGCCTCTTGTCGGATCCTTTCATCTATAATTTGTTTATAACAAAAAACACTTGAATTTAAGGAAGGTTCAGGTACTTGGTTTAATGAGTATAACTTCCCTCTTAGATTGATCCAGGTATATATCTTGTGATGTGTATTTCCTTTACTAGGGTTTCAGAGAAGGAAAAAATTACAGAGTAGCGTTCTTCATGCCAAACGGGAAAGCATTGGCTACTGTTGCCGACATGGCGGACCAAGACCAGGTGAGTTTTGTAAAAGATGGCCGCAAGATTTAGTATATCAATATTTTCTTTTCGAAAGGAATTGTTATTCCAAGTTTTTCTAGACACATCATAATATATATATATTAAAACACAGCTGTGATGTCATCCATTGTTATTTGCGTACTATATCCAACAGAATTCATAGGCATCACCTGTAGCCGTCCAATAAGTTACCTTTAGCTGTCCAATAACCAGGTCTATATCCCTCTGCCGATTGAGCTATATAGCTATAAAGACCTATATAGCTATATACACCTATAAATTATAGCTGTATTGAGCGATATTTTCTCAGATTTCAAATTTCATTAAATTAAATCAAAGTCGCATAAAACAATAAGGTTAATGGTAATGTTGACTACAAAAAGCATACATTTAGATGTTTATTTTAAATGTAAAATTTCCGATTTCTTTACATCATTATTCTTTAAAAAGAATACTTATATTTAATGTCTTTTGTTATCATCTTAATGATACAATCTTCTTTTAAATGCGACTTTGTTCCGTTTTCCTTAAAAAAGAAAATCACTTGAAAATAGCTCAAAAGACCTATATCAGATAGGTCAATAGAGCTATTATAGGTCTTTACAGCTATATAGCTCAATCGGCAGAGTGTACTGGACCTGATAAGTACACAAAAGAATCCACTTATTGGACAGCTACAGGTAACTTATTGGACGGCTACAGGTAACTTATTTGACGACTAAAGGTAAGTTTTTGAATGAGCACATAATTATGCTATACAATGGAAAACATAGTAATAGAATAAACGTGAAAATAAATATATAGCACAGAATTTAAATATCAACATTCTTAAAGTATATCCGGTATTTATATTTCCATATACAGATTTCCCGTGCACTATATTTTTTTCTTGAAAGAAGTTTGGAATCACGGAACACTCTTTTTACTTGAAACATCTATATAGATGCCTACATATCCAAACACTTTTCCAGCATTAATTGTTATTTCCTTTGAATTCGTAATTTTGGCAATAACACTTTGGAGTTGAGGGCAGTTGAAATCTTGCGTTTTTCCCACAATTTAAGTGCACAAAATTTCTTTCGTATCATCCCTCGAGATATTCGTGTATAATCCCAGATATATAGCTGAGATATACCTTTGATGAAAATATTTTGGAGGTGGTGTTGAAATCTTGAATTTTCTCACTTTAATTGTGTGGTTTAATTCTTTCATTTCACAGATATAATCCCAGAAATATACTGTAATCACTTTCTTCAATAATTCAATCACATTATTTGAATTTAATCCATTTCAATACTGAATGCTGATGCTCAAAATGTATTGCACAGGGACTGTGTTGGGAACGTACCTTCACTGTTGGACGACATTATTCAAATGAGACTAAATTCTACTCGGGCATATTTCACACACCTGTAATGCATGCACTTGTACAAAAGCATGCAAAGTAAGCTAAAGGACACCACTGTTCTTTATTGTATCAATAGCCTTCGTGGTTGATTGCACATACTGAACAGATATTGAAACTGTCCAATATTAACACAAAAAGGGTGTGTGTTTTAAGGTGGCTCCACACATCGTCATCAGCGTCCATTTTCGTGACGTACTTCCGGAAAAAGTACAGCTCAGACTTAATTATCTTGATCGAAATGTGCATGTACACCGTGTCGTCATTTCCGTATTGCGTATCGGGCATTCAATATTGTAGTGCAAAGTATAGTAACACCTGGGCCGTTTTCGTTTAAACGGTCAAACCGATCGGACCACTGTTGTTCAATTTTTTGGTATTTTTTCCAAAAAAGTCCCCAAACTATCGGAATGTTAGATTTTCATAAAATCAACTGTACATAGTTGCATAACCATTATATGAAAGTTTCAACAAATTTTGCTGGTTAATTGCGAAAGTGTGGAGCCACCTTAAGTAAGATATAAGCCGAAAACTGTCAATTATGTAAAATATTGGACAGCAGTCTGATGCACGTAATTTACTTAAAATACAGATGTAGTAATGAAATATAAAGAAACAACAATTACCAAAAAGTACATTTTTAGATTGGATGGAAACTTCTAAGGTCTGTTCATATTTGGTCAGAACAAGGTCAAAATTAATAGGAGTGTCCACTTTCAGTGGGTTTTTTTAATTTAAGTAAACTGGATTACTGTATTATTTAAAAATCTGATCATGTTTCAAAAGCAATGATCTCAAGTAATAGCAGAAATGGGGTTAAATTGTTTTTTTTTTTACAAAATTAAAATTTAGATTTCGAACGGCAAAAATGCAATAAATAGCATATTATGAATAAAAGTGATGCTATTTTGTTGAGTCTTTGATTTAAGTTTAACAAACCTGGCATACCAAGGATAAAATCCCCAAAAAATTAGACAATATTTGTCTGACAACAATTTCAAGACCCTTAAAATATCAATTATTCATGATTTTTTTTTTTTTTTGTCTACTGTAAGATTTTATTTGCTATTTATTTCCATTAATCAGCCTATGGATTCACTAATAAAGGAAGTATTTTTCAGTTTTGGTTCTACTTTTAAGTTTGGAGAAATAGGGCAGTCCACTACTACCCAGGCATCCTGCAAAAGTAAGCAGGTCACCTGGGGGTGTCCTGTACCCTTGAGAGAAATTAATCCAAGATGTTACTTGGGAGCCTGTAGCTACCCAGGCTCATTATTTTCCTTACTCATTAGTTTAAGGCATACTTACACTGTTGATTACATTACACTATATTCAATAAGAAAATGCTTTAAAATTTTAAAACTCATTTGCATATTTGATATTCAACATTGGCTGTAATTAATTCAGTTTGATCAGAAAAATATATTTTCAGTTTTAATCAGATACAGTTTAAATTATGTAGATTAAGGTGACAAAATATAAGTAAATTTGTTGCATTTTGTTTGGAATTTCTCTATTTCAGATTTCAGAACATTAAAAAATAAGGGACATAACTCGTACATTCTCGAAACGTTGGTTATACGTTTTTCGTAGTAAGGGAAACAACTCTTTCATCAATGTAACGTTTTACATACGTTTTTGATTTGTTCTTTTTGTTTAATTTCAGATAAAACCTGTGGTTGAGAAAGTTTTCCCATTTGATGAAGTGCCCGCAGCTTATGAAAAGGTTGGGCAACTTCACGGGCGTGGTAAAACAGTGATACGTGTAAAATCATGAGAAAAACAGTTATTTCTAAAAACAATGTGATTCATTGACATATTTTGTAACATTGAAAACTTAAAGAATTGTATGGTAATAAATATATTTGCCTTTCATACAAGCATTTAAAATTTATTATCTGACTGATCTCATTTTACTTTGTGGTTTTTGTCGCCACTCTTTCTCGAACAAGAAAAATCACACAGAGTAATTTCTTACTTGTGATTTTGTTATACAATTTACTCGCGGGAGATTGGACTTTTTCTATTTTTACAAATCATTTTTAAAAACAGAAAAACACTTGAAAAATTTCTAATTAATTCAATTTTGAGAGATTTCTATTTTCAAGAATACATTTAAATATTGGATTCCCAAGAATCATGAATCATAATAGGAAAATATTTCTTATATAAAAGTAAAATATATTTATATATAAATGAGTAGATTAACGCAATATAACGGTATTTGAAATTCAAATTGACTTAATTTTATGTGAAAATATGTCTCAAAATGTATTCGCAAGTAATTTGCTTTACTGCAGTAACAGATGAAGTGTTATTGTCTTTAGTTTCATCTTGTTATCACGGGAATACCCTGCATATAATGTCATTTTCTGTTAATGTACGTTTTGTTGGATTTAAAATAAAATTGAAAACTTAAAGAGATGTTTTTCCCCCTCGTCTGTGTTTTTTTTTTTGTAATGGTTTTATTTTTCCAAGTTTTTCATTACATATACATAAACAGAACATTCACGCATTCTCACATATACACACACGGACATGGATTTAGCATTATCACAATCAATTTCATTGTCATCATAATATCATCATCAACATATCATCATCAACATATCATCATCATCATCATCATTCGTCTTTATCATCTTCATCATCCTCTTTCATATATATATAATTATTCAATCATCATCATTGCCATAATCCATCATCATCCAAAATCTTCAATAATCATTTCATATGTATCATTATCAACATATAATTATCATCATCATCATATCATCATCATCATATAATCATCACCATCATCATACAATCATCACATCATCATACAATCATCACCATCATCATACAATCATCATCTTCAATTATAATCTTCACTCATCATTCTATATGTATCTTCATCACCATATTGTTATCATCATCATCATTAATTCATAATGATATCATCATCATTCCTGATTTACAAACATTTAACAAATTTATAATCCCTCACTTAGTTGTTGAATACATCAATTCACATGTACATACACAGCTTCAAAGTGAGTTATGACCATTAAAACACAGAGGATTATGAATGGCGATGGTAGTTGGGAAACCATGTTATTCAATTGATCAAAGTTTCTGACATCACTAGGAGGAATACAAATGGAACAAACAGTTCCTAGTTTGTGTAAAGTTCCACAGACAGAAACAGCTTGTAGGACCGTGTTTAACTGGAATACAGAATACAGTCGTAACACCTGCTGCCATGCATCCTCGATATCCAGGGGTTACGCTCACTTTCGCCCTCCATTTTAGTTATATATGACATTTTAAAGAAAATTTAGTCCTTCTTACCCTTTTGCCCTTTTCTCGTTTGCTACGCCTATCCAACTGGTGATCTAAAAAGATGCAAGTTTTTATCTGATCTTATATATAAATATATATGTTTACAAATGGTTGTCCCATGATCCTAGTTGTCGACGAGCCGTTAAACACAAACCTTCAATCTGATATAGAGCTTTCATGGTGATAACACTATAAAGTCGGCATCAGATCCGCGCTATCACAAGGAGGCAAGCACGCCAACATACCTGGTTACCTCATTTTCGCTCTCTACACCCCTGGAATATGTCATAGCAAAATTGAATCAGTGTGCGATTCGGATATACATGAAAAGAATCTCGCTGTCACGTAACGGTAAAAAATGACAGGCTTTAAAGTCGGGCGTCTCTCCTTTGTAATCCTAAAAGGACAGGTATCAGCCTATCGATTGGTCAGGTGTTTTTTTTTTTACCTGAGACCAATCAAACAGCTATCTTCGTGCCTTCAATTTTGCTATGACATTTTCCAGGGGTGTAGAGAGCGAAAGCGCGCGTAAACCCTGGATATCGAGAATGGTCTCCTGCACACATACACGCAAGCACGCATACACTACACACATGGAAGCACGTCCTTAAATGGCCTTATCTGTTAATGGGACGTTTAACACAATTGAACCAAACCAAACTCATCATGTTGATACCGGGTAGAATGTGGCAATGACCACCCATTACCGTAGCGAGTTCAACACACGTTGACACTTTTAAGGAGAAACTAATACGTAATCCACAGCGTCAACATACTAAGCCAGCAATGAAACTCGAAGTCCGTCATTGCGTTTACTTTTAACAAATACTTCAATTTTAATTATAAGGGTACCTCGCTCTTCAGATGTTTATTATAGAACCGTAACGTGAACTTATTCCTCAGTGGGATTGGCTGATCTCCCTTACATTAACTAGTTTCCCTGTCTACTGCATCATAACTTGATATAGATTTTTGTACTGCAGCATTTTAATTATTCAATAAGACGACTCAAAGATATTGAGAAAAGTTGAGTTTCGTCAATGATGACCAAAAATACCACTTAAAATTACCTATTCTGACTGATATGCATTTTAAAAGGACTGTCGTACTTCAATTTAATGTTTTGATTATGATGATCACATTATCCCTTAATGGTAACAAAATACTTAACATGCATTTTTGTTCTACCTAAAAGAAGCTTCCAATTTTACAAGATTTTTTACAAGATTTATTGACACTCAGACACATTATATGTGTTACATGAGGAAATAAAGTTGCAGATTTGGAAAATGAAGTACAATATACATATTTGTATACACATGTTTAACTGAAAGAATGGACAGTTCAATTTAGAACCGGTACGGTTTAGTAACATGATATGATATACAATGGAAAATACAAAGCAAACATAAAAAAACATACATCTACCTCCCAAGTTATTTAACTATTAACAGTTATTCCGTCTTTGCGTATTGCAGAGTTATCTTCTCTTGGGAGCAGGTATTGATTGTTACGTCATTGGTTTGTGCGAGAAAATTACGTCGTTTTCTCAAAAATTGATGACGTTACTCTCACAAACAAGTGACGTAACAATCAATACCTGCTCCCAAGAGAAGATAACTCTGCAATACGCAAAGACGGAATGCATATGCATCATTCACAAAAGAGGAGGAACAAAGATAAACCTGCCAGAACTCGTTGATTGCATAATGAAATAAAAAGACCTTTAAACTTGTAAATATTTGGGTTTGTACAATAATAACGAGGAATATATTTGTTACGTAAGGTGGATATAGTTATATTATTGCATTCAAATAGATAATGAAACTCCAGAACGCATAGTTTCGTTTCGGGGAATTACCGCGGTTGATATTTAGATGTTTATTTGATATTTTCTATCAATTTTGTATCGTCTAAATGTGACTTTTGTCAATAAGATATTAATGTGTAAATATGACATTAAAGAACGCGCCGTGAAGCTTATGTTTAATATATTAATGAAAAATAAGAAGTTGTTATGTAAATCTGACCTTAAAGATTTATGCAGTTGAGCTAAGTACAATATATATATATAACTACTAATCCCGGCTTTATCAATTTGTCATTGAGCTTACTAGTATTTGGGCCACGACATTTAAGGGCACTAAATGGGTTACAATTATGTACGAGTAAAGGAATTTGATCTGATTTCGCAACGAACATCCCTGGATGGAGATTCTATACTGTATAAATGAAATTTGTTGGTTTCCTTTTGAGCAGAGGGCAATGCTTACTATTGGAAAAAAATGAAACTAAAACTATTTACTTTTTTAGGTCTAATAACAGCGAATGTTAACAAAAAAGTATAATTAAGCTACCCTTTTATTTAATTTTCAATCCCAAGATATCTGCCTGGGCCTCTGCTTAGCTCGGATATTTTCTACTTTTAAATTTCCATCAGGTTTATTTGACAAACTTTACACAAACGTTCCTCGGCACTGACCAAAGTCATTTGAGAATTGTCTTACCAGTTTACAATCATGGGTGGTCACCAAATCTCCGATTGGCTGGGACGTTTACAAGATGAACATCCACTGACATTCTTCAAAAGGGAAATGTGCAGATTTAATTTCATAAATTTATTCATTTTTGTGTCGCCTACGACAGATGTCGGAAAGACACATAGGCGCTGCTTTTCCGACGACGACGGCGTCAACAATGTAAGGTTTTGCGTCTGACAAAGCTACACCAACAAAACCTCGATCATAGATGAAGCATGGCTAGTGAAGCCTACTGCACTAAAAATATTTCATTGATTTCTGCATTTTTTTGGTAAAAAATTCAATTTTCTGGACTAAGAAAAAAACTCAACGTTAAGGTTTTGCGTTTAGCTCTTACATATTAGGCTGTTTCTGACAAAGTATAAATGCTAGAGCAACCAAACTTGGGTCATCGGTGTATTATGGGATGTATAGCTGAATGCATTACACTCTTTACTAGCATTTCAACGATTTCTGTATTTCTTTGCTAAAAACCTCAAATTTCTGGACTTAGAAAAAAACTCAACTATAAGGTTTTGCGTTTAGCTCTTGCATATTAGGCTCTTTCTGATAAAGTATAAGAGCTAGACCAACCAACCCTCAATCATACATGTATCATGGGTAGTAGAGTCTACTACTCTGAAAACATTTCATGGACTTCTGCACTTTTTCGGATAAAAACCTGAAATCTCTGGACTAATGTTATGATTTTGCGTTTAGGTCCGTTTCCTTATGTACTATGTTAAAATGCTTATTATATTGACAAAGCGGGACAGGCGACATATATAATTACGCGTAATTCTTGTTAATAATTCATATCTTATAAAATATATAAACAAGATATACCAAAAAAAAGCAATATCAAATCTTTACGAGATATATATATATTACACGGTTATATATTGAATGCATAGGAAACAAAAAGAAAAACAAGAAACATGTTCAAGGAAAAGTGCGATTCTTCAAAATGACAACCTACATTTCTTAATTCATAAATAATGAATGATAATTCATCATGTTAAAATTAACATAGGATGAGCGAATTCACGTCGGTATGGACACAAATCGGATACATCAATATAGCATGAAATCCGCCAGGCTTCATGCTAAATCCAAATCTAAATTTAAAGTTGGTGTTCATATGTATATAGTTACCTTAAAAGATTCACTTGGTCTGTGAGAAAAACAAAATGTTCCACGTCTTAATGGTATTATTAAGCTGTTAAAAAAATGCAAGGCTTTTTTGTTATTTTTCGTGTAACTCTTCGAATTTCCATGTCACTAAGTACTAATTTGCGACATATTTGTTTTAAATTCTAAGGAATCCTTTTAGTATGAACAATATTATGTTTCGAGATTTGTTCATACGTTTCCAAATATAAACAGTGAACTTGTATATAAATTGTATATAAACGAAGGATTAAAATATCAGCGTAAAGCTTATGTACGTTAGTCTGCCATTTGATAATCGCGTCATGAATATACTTCGATTAAATTGACCCTATCGGGATACACAGTAACGAAGAATAATAAGCTCTAACACAGTAACGAAGAATAATAAGCTCTAACGCTAGCAACAGTGTTGACTTACTAACTGTCGTTTTAATACAGTTCACTATTATTGAAGTGCCCAATCTGTGACATATTTGCACAGTTTAATTTGGATCAATTTTCCAAAGATGTAATGCAAATAACAATATCTTTTTATGTTTAGCCATTATTTCTTTTGTAGACTCGGTGTCATGTTTTGTTGAGAAATGAAAATGAAAGATTTATACCTAAGTGCCACAGCTAAACACTACCCTCTAATTCGGAGGCGGAATCAGGTCGTTCGACCATAAAGCTTCTTCCATCACATTCAGAGATCAAGGTTTAGTAGAAGTGATGTATTTGTAGGTATCTTTTATTTCAGGAATTCTCAATGTTTCTGAACACTTAAAGACATGACTTTTCATTCTCTTGATCTTCATTACCATAGACAAGTCCTAAAAGAAGGAAATAACATTTTCGGACATTTTGTGTCAACTTTTTTTAGATGTTCTTTATGTTCTGTTTCTAGTTATTATTTCAGTCACTAGTCAAAAAGATAAAAGAATCATTTCCTTAGGAAAGTGATTAAATATTACAATTTAACACGAAAAATTCAGACCCCGGTAAAACGAACGTTGCTTAACTTACGAAAATTCCTAAACTGTAGTGGAGTTTTTTCATGAAAGAAACATTGCTAGAGTTAGAGGAACAGTTAAATTATATCAATTTTCCAAAAGGACCACTGTCCCACTACAAGCAAACCACTAGATAGTCCCACTATTGTTACATTTTCTTGGGGGTTGAAGAGGATGGGAGACATTGGTACGGGGATCCCTTACTCCAGCAATACTTACCTATGTGAGAAAACTTGAAGATTGCTTTGGTTTAGTTTGTTTTTGCTTTACGTCCTGTGAAAAGCGATGGCCTTTTAAGGACGAGCCAGGTTTTGAGGGTGGAGGAAAACTTGGGTAGCTGGAGAAAACCATGCACTGGCCTGCGGCTGTCTCACGTAGGTCCTGGAGCCTGCGACCCAAAGGTGAAGGGTCGGTTGTCGTAGACGGTCGGACGCCTTAACCCCGGTAACCGCGGCCTACAAAACATTGAAGGTCCACGTCCCACTGCGCTGTGGTTTTTCCTTTACACAGTTACCCCCTTGACGTCCATTTGGATGAAACTGCAGCACTGATGGGCTATCACACTTCTGTTGACCAGGTATAGCTCAGTCGGTCAGAGGGGTAGTCCATGGTTCGAATCCCGGTCATGCCAAACATTTAGAACACACTGTAACTGTTCTTGATTATATTTTGTTTATTTGAACTTTATTGATTTCTCATAAAAGTCCCACAAGGTATGGCTTTCTTTTCAGAAAAGATATATCTAAGGTATACTCAAGACGGAAAAGAAAGAAAAAACAGTTTCCAGAACTTTGCTACAGTTTTTGGCAGTGGTCCTGCGATACTTAAGGAACATTCGTGAAATTGGAACCTTTCTAATTCTGTCGTGAACCCGGGATCAGGTCATCTAATAAGCCGAGCACAACACATTTCACATTGAGAGCCTGTCGGATTAAGGTTTGGTCGGGATTACAATGTAAGTTTGATCACCATTACTGCTATTATAAAATGAAATACTTATAATAACAATCAGTGTTAACTCTGACCACGGTAGAGTCACACGTGAAAACTAGACTTGGACCTCAGTCTGATAATTAGATGAAACCTTAAATTTTCTTATTTATCGAAGACATGATAATCTCCGGCAGAGTGTTGTCAGCTTTGTTCATTTTGATAAGCTGTGTTTATATTGAGGTACAATGTGCCAATGCTACAGACAAAACCAGCCTTAACGCTGCCCTGCTAACGGGATATAACCCCAGTGTGCACCCAGGGTCCGACTATACAACACAGCTTCTCAATATTAACGTCAGCTTTGTCTTGGTATCTATCAAATCATTTGAGGAACAAACAGGCGAATTATCTATTATGGGATATTTCAATATATATTGGACTGACGAGCGGTTGGCATGGGATCCTTCGAGCTATAGCAATATAAACGGGACAAATACGAAACAGAAGGAGATCTGGACTCCCCCTTTTATACTCGCCGACAGTTCCGAAGACGTGTCGATTATTGGTGATGAGGATATGCCTTTATCGATATATTACACCGGAGTGGTATTATGGTCTCCTCCAGGAACGATATCGTCGACATGTAACGCTGACGTCACGTACTATCCCTTTGACCTGCAGACATGTTTGTTGCGGTTCATGCCTTGGGGGTACACAACAGCCGAGATTCAGATCAACGCTATATCCTCTACGCTATCTTTGAGCATTTTTAGCCAAAATCCAACATGGGAGCTAACTAGCACCAAGCTTGAGACTTCCCAATCCCCAATGCTAAATTTTCAGATGACAATTTCGTTTAAAAGAAGGGATACCTTTTTCATCGTGAACTTGATATTGCCAGTCGTCTTTATGTGTTTTATCAACATGTTTGCGTTTCAAATTCCGTTAGAAACTGGAGACCGGCTCGGATTTGCTACGACTTTGTTGCTTACCATCGCTGTGTTCTTATCCGTTGTTACGGACGCTCTGCCCCAATCTTCGACTCCGTCAATACCATTGCTTTGCTATCTTCTAATAATTCACATCTTACTGAGTATGATGATCGTATTCTGTACAATATTCGGTCTTCGGTTGTATGTCAGACCATCGGATGAACCAGTGCCGAAATGGGTAATTAAACTCACTAAATTTGTCCACGTGATCACCTGCAATAGGAAGAAGATATCCGATAAGTCTGATAGCAAAGTATCGGCCGTGACAAACCGTGACGACGGAGGCAAGTGTGATGATCAAAGTATTGATACAGAGGACACTGGTATGACGTGGATGACCGTCAGCAATGCTTTCGATAAATTCTTCATGCTATTTTTTATGATGGTCGCAATGATTTGTAACCTTTCATTTATCTTTTTATTGTCTAGTTCATAAAGGATCGCGTGTTGCCCAAATTTTTGTAGAGTTAAATTGCTGAACTGCTCATCGAAAATCATATCGGATCAATTTTATTATGGAAAGTCAGGTAATCCATCATTGGTTTATGTGTGAAATCTATCTACCTTGTTATTTCTTTCAATTATTAAAATAATGGAAGTAAAAAGATATTTTTTCTTTATTACGTTTCAAGTTCATGGAATATATACATAGACCCTCAGGATGCAATGGTTAGGAAGGAATTACCTGGAACGGGAACAAATATTCGTTATTTATCTGTTACAAATTCTGCATTGAAGAAGACATACATTTTCATTATTTTTGTCATATTCAATCGATGTGTTATGTAATATGTGTACATAATATAATTCTTGGACAATTCATTATATGGTACACGTTCTCTCTCGTGATTTCTTTCCATCGTGTATTTTCAATCTTTCAGTAATTAAGGATATTGCTAAGGAGTATGAAAAGCACAAAAAGGGTCATCCTGAATTCTTTTCGAACCTGAGTATACAATGGTCTTCTAGGTTTAGACACATTTAGCTGAGGCAAAGTACGAAGTAAATTTGATTAATTACTACATTAAGACAGTTTAAAAAGCATTTTGAGGAGTTTGATGAGGAAAAAGGAAATCATTCACGTCCTAGTAACATTAGATTAAATTAGATGTGTAGCGCAACACTATAAAGTAATTTGTTTTCTGTTACTAATCCACAGCATGGCATTATGTATTGTCATGGTTGGGACCATGGACTCGATACCCTTTACTCATTCATCCCTTCAGTTTTAAACAAACTGGACTTGTCCAGTCTTTTATTTGGTAGGGTTCAAATGTGACTCTCGAGGTGAATGGGTAACAGTGAGTGTTCCCTCGTAGCGATGCTCTCTTTCAACATTATGTAAATAAATATTTAACTATCACTCACCGATGCTATAACTTCCATTTAAACGATTCCTCCATACATAACACTGTGAAAATATAAAACACAATAATATTGTTTTAACAAAATATTTAAGTATAATGGTATACGATAATGTTAATTTAATAAATCCATACAGACATATATACAAGCTAGGAATGTTGGTACATTGTCAATTTCTCTAACAATCATGAAATTAATAATAAAAACACAAGTTTGATTATATTCACATTATATATGTTTTACCGAATGGTACCTTTCCATATAAACGAGTAATGATATCGTTCTGTAATGAAAATGGGGATTATTCAGGTTCGATGAGGTATGTATGCCAATAAGTTGTCCTAGTTTCGCTATGAAAACTGTGTTATCATTATTACTACTGACATGTAATTTTTAGGATATATTCTATCTGACTTTGACAATAAAGTTGCAATTTATCAAATAGCAAACATGTTTATTAATATTATTTTTGTTTCTTTATTGAGCTGTCACTATAAAGCACTTTAGAAGTGCGATATATAAAATCATTTGCATTTATTATTTTTCATACATTTTATTCATATTGATATTAATCGGTTACATATGACTTACATTAAATACTTACATTTGAACCAAATAAGGTAACTTAAACACACTACACAGCTATACAATGTAAGACAGTATTTATCCTTAGCATACAATTACATATTTTATATATTAAATGTGTCCTAAGCATGGCTTTGAACTTTCTCCCCTCTTACGATTCCGTATAAGCTTACCTATTTCAATACTCGTAAGATATTTCAATAAATACACTTTAAACTAAGCCGAATTACTTGTATATATATATATATATATAGAATAAAAACAAATTTTTCAGATCGTCCGCTAGGCCTTTCTGCCTTCTAGGGATTCTTCAGGCGGATTGATCACAATCCCTAAGAAGCCCTAGAAGGCAGAAAGGCCTAGCGGACGATCTGAAAAATTTGTTTTTATTCTATATTTTCCTTCGCAAGGACTTATTTATTTATTATCTACTATATATATATATATTTCACAAGTTTTACTGATATATAAAACAACAACAGCAAAAACGTCCACTCACTTACAAACATTGTGATGCCATTACCTCAATCATCATCATCATCATCATCATCATCATCATCATCATCACCATCATCATCTTGCATACATTGTGATGCCATTACCTCCATCATCCTCATCATCACCTCACATACCTTGTGATGTTATTACCTCCATCCTCCTCCTCCTCCTCCTCATCATCATCATCAACATCATCATCCTCCATTCATTCATCTATGATGAAATGATTTCATATATTATAAGTACATACATCTTTTCAGTTGCATCACAACATTAACACTTGTGTATTTTTACATCAACACATCATCTTTCTACTCTACATCCGCCATTCATACAGAATCGCCCTTACTCACACCCACCCATACACTTGTTCTTACATACAAACAAAAACAAGTAAGGATTCATAGAAATGCAAAAAATAATGAAAAGCTACTAAAAACTGTAAACTAAAAATACATAAATCAGTTCAGAGAGAGACAGAGAGAGAGAGAGAGAGAGAGAGAGAGAGAGAGAGAGGGGGGATATATTTTTGAGCTCAAGCCTATGAATGTATGAATAAATGAAATAGAAGAAAATTATTGATTTTGTAATTCATTTCACAGCCCAGGAGACAGCTATCAGAATATTATTTTTACAAAACAAGAAGTTTTTCCCATTTTTTCCATTCCTTTTCAAACTTCTTTCAATAAGTTTCTTCTTTGATATTTGCTATAAATCTTTGTATATTATGGTAGTCTTTTATTGTATTAACCAATGCATTTATATTTAAGGAGCTATGAAGACAACGCATTTTATATACATATTGTTTAATTATAATGAGTATCTCATTATCAATTCTACCATTCACATTTTGTGTAAGATTATTCCCATAAAATATGGGTAATCGTTTCAATCTCAGAATTGCAAATTGTACATACAGGAGATACAACTATTCGAGTTTTAAAGAGGAAAGAATTTGTTGTCAGAATATGGTGATTTAATCTATACTGAAACCACTGAAATTTCGTATTAGTAGTTATAGCAAAGGGAAGCTTAAAAATCTGATGCCAAGAAAAGTAAGATATTTCAATAAATACACGTAAAACTTGTTAGTATATATAAGAACGTATAAGCCGAATTGCTTGTATATTGATATAATTAGCTGTATCATGATGGCTGCGCTATTTCTGTCCATGCACAAACATACTGATTAAGGTTTTTCGTCCAATGTGACCTACTTTATATCTTATACCATATAGTATAGGCTTATGTGATTAAATTATACACCGAGACCTGCTGAATGTATTTATGGACATGTGTTTTAGAACAACCGATCAGAACATATGAAAGACAAAACTTTGCTTTAAATGAACATTCTTACATTTTTCTCATGAAATAAATATTAGGTCAATCTCTTTTCGTCATTGGCACTGAAAGCATTTTTCTCTTTCATTCAATCAAATAAGTTTAGTCTCTTCCTACACCTTAGCGAAAGTTTTTTTTTTAAAAATATGCCAATCCTTCAGTGGAACAGTTTGGCCCTGTTCCACTTTGTTTTAACATTTTAAGATATATTGCTCCGCCCTTCAGTTCTATTCAGTTCTGATATTTTTGATCTTTACCTTAATACCTATTATAAATAATAATTATAATATACAACATGTATATAGCGCTCTATGTAATTTGTAAAATTACTCTAAAGCGCTTTACAACATATGGATAATTGTATTAGCTATAATTGTGAAACAAAAACAGAGGCATACAATCACTTTTATACATTTAAGCAGGCAGATAATCGTCGCAATGTGCACATAAATCAACAAATAAAGGGTGGTATTTACATAACGTCTTTGCGAAGAGCCTAACATGCAGACGTGAAGAGTTGAGTTTTGATGTCCCTCTTGAATTTGGCCAGGGTATTTGACTTCCTAATAGCTGATGGTAAGCTTTTCCACAACGTGGCCGAAACCCTCCGAAAACAACGGTTTCCATAGGTCACAGTACGAGATTTTGGGATACACAACAATGATTCTGACTCCGACCACAGTAATCGTGACGGCTGATACAGGATAACAAGCTCCTGTAGGTACTTGGAAGCTGTTCCATCCAGTGCCTTGTATGTGTACACCAACATTTTGTACTGCGACCTGTATCGTACAGGTAGCCAGTGCAATGAATATAGCACAGGTGTGATGTGCTCTCTCTTTCGAGTACGAGTAAAGAGCCGTGCTGCAGTGGTCTGGACCCTCTGCAGAAGACTAGCTAGTTTGTTAGATATACCACAGAGCAGGGCGTTACTATAATCCAACCGACAAGTGAATGCACCAAAATCTTGCATGCATCTGCAGTTATAAACTGCCGAATACAGCCGATGTTCCTGATCTGGTAGTAACGGGGATTTGGCAATAGCGTTCACTTGTTTCTCCATGTTGAGTGAACTATAACAGTATAACCCTAGGTTTTTAACAGCTGGGACAGTCTCAATAGTTCTGGCATCGACCTTGAGCTGAGCCATTGTTTGCTGACACTTCAGGGAAAAACGATTAGTTCCGTCTTTTCCTGATTAAACTTTAGCATATTGGCGTTCATCCAGGTACTGATATCTGTCAGACAAGCTTCCAGATTTTTCTGAAATTGTATCCCAGCTGTCCTGTGGTTTGATGACTGAAGAAAATAAACACCGTAAGTAAAGTTTCATTAAAAAGTAACTCCTTGAAATGTACAGATCTCCTCTTACATATCTAAGTTAAAAGAAAATGATAGAAGGGTTAATTCCAAAACCAGTACAATTTGCCTAACAGATAAATTTTATGCAACGTGTTAAAGCAGGTATACGTATCAAGTGTCAAGGCAATCTTTGAAAACCGCTCAGCCTGATATGGCCGGTGGCCTTACCCATTCATATGAAAATGCGTTTTAAAAAGACATTTTTCTTGTTGTACAAAAATGTCAGTATCTACTTTAATATGCAAGAATACTTTAATGTTAATACAGTATATTTCACTGCCAGGTAAAGCAACGGGTTTTGACACATCCTATGAATATTATAAAACTTTACCCCATATTACATACAGACAACAAATATTTAATTAATGATGGAATGAAATGTATATAAACAAAATAATAAAGGTACACATTTTGCTCTCAAGAACAGAAGACATGATGGGATCAAATTGGTGTATGGTACGATGGTGTATTTGTGCCATCCTGTTAATTAGCATACCCTGATTCTCGTTCTTTCGCCTTTTCGTCCACAAAAGACATGAATTTACCAATTTTATTCTCGTTCTGCCGTCTTTTCGCCCCGTTTTCGGAACTAAAAGACGAAACAGCAAAATGGCACAAATCATCAATCGTAGTGATCAGATCGAGATAGCAGAAGGCAGAAGATTTGATCTAAATTTACATCGCAGGTGTCGTCGATGAAGCAGAAGACGCTAACCATTTTGTCACACCTGGTCTTATTATCCGTGTACTTTGTCTATGGTCGCCATGAAAATCTTCCATTTTTATCCCCGTTTTATCGATTTCGAGTTCGAATTCTGGTTTTTTTAAGACTTCAGTATTGTCTTGTTGATTTTGCTGTTTAAGATTGAGTTTGAATGTTAAATTTGATAGAAATTTGGCCAAATCAAGGACCCGTCAAGGGATATTATACATACAACATTCATATGAGACAAAACATATTGTATCCATCTTGTTATATTTGCAAATCTTGCAAATACGATAAACCGTCTCGCAGACAGGAAATGAAAATTACTTCAAAACATAACAATCAAAAAGTATGCTCATTCTCAGAAATAAGGTTTCATGAAGTACAAAAAATTGAAATATCTTGATTAATATTTCTCATCGTCATTTTAATATTGATTGAGATTCGAGCAATAAATACATTTCTTTCTGTTACAGTAAAACACGTTTCGTACGAACACGCTTACAGCGGTTTCCTGGGTATCGGGAACTGATTTTTATTCCCATGCTCCTCACCCTCTTACTTCTATGTAATATGATCATAACACGAATTTTACATGGCGAATTATTGTATATTATGAATCAAATCAGCCGTCCCTTCACGTGAAGTTTAATGTTTTTCTTAAAATGGTCCCTTTAGGATTCGTTATAACTGTATTTAGTTTTACTGTATTTATGTTCCTGCTAAACGAGAATATTATTATAAATGACCACCATCACATCCTGATGGTGTGGATAAGGGCGTACTAGTAAATGTTAATACATCTGTATGATGCAGTGTAATTTATTTCTGGCATACTGTATCTTTTACTAAATTGTCAATATGTTTTAGTCCCCGAGGTTTGCTATAACCTTGATGGCCAGAGTTATCTCTTTTGAGAAGTGGCATGCTTCATGATATACACACTTTTTATACGCCCGTCAAATTTGACGGGAGTATTATGGTATGGCGTCGTCCGTCCGTCCGTCCGTCCGGCGTAAACTTTCGTTTGTCCGACAATATCCTCCTACATTTTTTGACCGATCTCTTTGAAACTTGGTATTCATTAAAATCATGATGTGAAGTTGTGTCTCCATTAAAAGAGATTTTGATCAACGATTTTTGCAAAAGTTATTGCCCTTTGTTCATTTCAGTATTTGATTTTTTGTCCGGAGATTTTCTCCTACATTTTTTATAGCATGTCAGCTAACCCACTCTTAGAATGATGCAGATCTTATTTCAATGTAAGAAAGTATATAACACTATATGGCATCCGACGGGCGTATATTGTTCCGCCCCGCGGTACTCTTGTTTATTATTTCATTTGAAATTTGAAATTAACGCACCTGTCCATCTGTTTTAACAGTAGTGTTGACAATTTCGCTATCCTACCTTTTGCCCCCTGGCATCAGCGATAAGACCTAAAAGCTGTATATATGGTGCAATGTAACTCATTTCTGGCATACTGTATTTGTTACTTAATTTTAAAGGTGCAGTTACCTGCGTGTGTGCTACGTTCATACATAGGAATAAAATACAAGGCAACCATAAAAACGGCTTATTGTGTGCGATATTTATTTACTAATAATAACATTCATCATAATTAACATGTAAAGATAATTGGCTGAGGTAGATCAGGGATGTGTACACATCCCTGGGTAGATGCACGGATTTATAAATCGTTTTTTTTTATAATAGTAACGCCATATTATTTACTGTTGATAAAACAAATAAGGACTGTCGGGTAAAAAAAGTTTACAATTCATTTGCATTCACTTCAGATTTGCGTTAAGAGTCAAAAAAAATTCAGTCCAATCTATCCCCGATGTTTATGTTCCTTGCGTTTCTTCTCCTTTCTTGACCTTGGTTTCATATTAGCCTTGACCTTAGCCTTGACCTCTGCATCGAGCCTGAGCCTTTCCTGGTGATCATGTTCCTGCTGTACTGCCAGGACAACCTCAAGCTTCCGGCGAACGACCTTCATGTTGTCCAAAGTAATGAATTCAATGTTTCTAATAGTGGCATCAGCCTCGTTTTCTTTGCGCGGAGTCACCGTATGGGAATGTTTTGCCGTTTTTACATCATTTGGTAGACCGTCTTTGTCATTTACTTCCACAATGGTTTTGTCGCCGAGTTTGACTCGCCATAGCAATGGTTTGAACTTTGAACTTTCATTGCATGTTGTTGATATTTTGGACTTCTTTACCACGCGGAATTTCCTGTAGAGTGAACGTTTGTCAATTTTAGTTGGGGCGACGTCATTATTGTTGATTTCAGCTTTTGGTGTGGTATCTGGCGTTTCGTTTAACAACTTGCGTTTCCGCGAGATCGCAGCATTTAACTTTGGATTGATGCCATCTTCCTGTAAAACAAAATTACATCATGTAAAACGAGAATTAAGATGCTCTTTGATAATTGGCAATACTGTTGTTTAGGGTGGATCTAAGAAGAGGTTCCCAAATTTAAAAACAAATCTTCATATGCCAGAACGTATTTTAATTGCAAGGAATACAATAATTTTATATCATTGACAACCAAACTGACCAACTGTTTATTGATATTATAAATCCATACCTGTTTGACAGTGTCGTCTGCCTGTGTTAGTGACCTTATTTTTCGGTCGGACATGGTTACTACTGTCCATGTTTGGCCATACACCTCGTGGTCATTGGTGGTCTGTTCAGGGTCCTGTCTAAACGCTGTGGCGATTTCGGGCGAAGTATTGTTACAAAAGGAACTCCTGTGTCCATGTTTTCCTGTTTCGTTGTTGTGGACATATGTGCTATGTGCCCATGCTGTGCTGCCGTGGTACAGTTGGTTGGCTGTGCCGACTTGACTTGCATCGTTAGCTGATGGCGTTTGGTTGGCGCGCTCGTATGCAGGCGTCCGCGGAACATTGTATTGCCCATTGGCACAATTGACGTCATATATGGTACCATTTTGATTACCGTAGTAGTTTGTATTGTTAGTAAGGGTTTTGTTATAGTCATAATATGCAAATATGTCATTTCCAGCGTTGCATTCGCTCTCAGTGTCGCCGTAGCAGCGCTGGTGCGTCGTATCCACAGCGCCGACATTTTTGGACGGAACATGGTTGTATCCGTAGTTTGCCACTTTAGATATTTGATTGAAATTATCCATTCCGTTGTTTGTTACATTTGTTGTACGGTTGCTGTCGTTGTAGCTGTTTTGTTTGTTGTTCTTTCTCCCGTCGGCTGTTCCATTACTATCATTGAATACATTTCCGTAGTGTAGTCCGTTCGTGATGGAGATTCGTGTGCCGAACCCGTCGTTTGTGGTTGCCTTTGATGGGGTGCTGCTTGAGTAGAGCGCTGTTCTGAGGGTGCGGCTGTCGGTTCCCTCGTATGTTGTCCCGTCCTCGTAGAATGACGTATCGGTACTATCATAACCCCGCCGCTCTCCATTGTAAGACCGACTGATTTTGTGACGAAAATTCTGATGACGAAAATATATAAACAAATAACATTTAAATCACAAACCAGTAGCTTTTAATTAATTATCTATACGATAGCGATGTGAAGAATAAGTTCGATTTTTTTCAAATGCGAAAATTATAAAACATAAACCATATTAGTTTAGAAATATTATAAGGTTATACAAATATAAAAAAATGGATTACTTTAGAAATGTTATAGATATGGAAAATCACAAATTGGATTAAACTAGACATATAAATTGCGTGCAGTAATAAACAGAAACACGTTTGGAGTTTATTAATTAAGTAAACCATTAGATACCTTATTGTTCAATTGATTTTGAAATAATAAACGTTAAAAGTGACAGCGGGCTATGTTGGGAAGTGGATGGAGGAGAAGGGCTCTAAGCAAAAATGTAACCAAACGCCTCTACAATGTACATAGTGATAATCCCTACTGTGATTGGGGGCCATCGTGCTTCTGGATCAAATACATACCTGTTCCATTGTTTATCTTGTTAATAAGCCGTTTATGTTGTCTCTGCGATCTTTTCTCCTCACTTTGACCTTCTACTTCGTTGAGATATTAGAGTTTTTACGAAAGTTTGTTGCTCCGGAAAAATCGCGCTGCATAGAGTTACACCAGTTGCCGATGTAACTAAGTTTGACGTCACAGATGGCTTAGGAAAGATTACGGCATTGCATTGTGACGTCATACCCCTTTGTCCCTCGTGTTGAAGGGCCTCGTCAAATAAACACTATTCTACTGGATAGCTGGTCAAATAGATCCGTATTTAGTAGGGCTGCAACGATACGCATACCCCACGGTACGATACGTATCGCATAATATTGATATACGCAATTTCATATTGATTGAGTGCAGAATTTTATCGAGTTTTGTCATAGACTTATAAGTAATTAATTTCAACACATATATTTGTATAATTTCTGGTACTTTTGGGTATGACTGCACAGTGGACCACATCTTGACTGAAAGATTAAAAAAAAAACGAGCGTTTTTTTAGAGTTTAATGAAAATTGCATGATAATTTCAGTACTGTTAGTGTATCGCAAACAAATCAATTCGATACGATACACAAGACAGGATTGCGATTCGATTCGATGCGATACGAGACGATACGTTACGATACATAAGACAGGATTGCGATACGGTACGATACGATACGATATATCGTTGCAGCCCATGCCAGCCCTAGTATTTACAGGATCCCTCTTTTGAATGGAAATAAATGCAGAAATGACACACCGACCGACAGACGTAGAATGGACAGTTGCAGTGAGGAGAATTTGAAAAGAAAAAAGTAGCAAGTTTAGATAATTGCAGACAGAAGATGATAGCAAATTTATCAAGGTCATCTAAAGGTTATTTATATCAGCACCTTGTTGATAATTTTGGTCTTCAATTTTCTTATAAACCCTGTTATAAATAAGGACCTAAGTGTAAAATAATTACTGCTTTCGCCCCGGTTTCGCGCAGAGTTCCTTTAAGAATAATTCACAAGAAAGCCTTGCTTGCGGTAATAACTTGTGCCCAATCCTGTTGTCACTTTTTTGGCAATAATTATTTCTTATCTCACATATTCATGAAACAGTTCCGGAACGGAAAAATAAACTCCCACGCCTAGTTTCACTACGGGGACTCCAGTGAATAGTTTCTATGTCGCTATTTTTCTTCTGGTTTGTGTTGGGCAGGGCAGTCCACTACTACCCAGGCATCCTGCAAAAGTAAGCAGGTCACCTGGGGGTGTCCTGTACCCCTGAGAGAAATTAATCCAAGATTTTACTTGGGAGCCTGTAGCTACCCAGGCTCATTATTTTCCTTACTCATTAGTTTAAGGCATGAAGCGGAAGTCCATTTCTTTTGCTTATGTCTAGTTTTTCTTCTATGACAATTACGGCTCGCTCATTTGAATTTTTGATGAATATTATTTAAATATTTCGTTATTTTTATATAAATATTACAATGTTCTCTCAATGATATCAAAACAAAGATAAAATATGAATTTTCGAGAAAAATAATTTGAGGTTTCTGTCACTTTTATCGCAATTAGAATTGTTTCCCCTGTTTTAACACGATCCAAAAATAAGGGAAGTTACTCTTTTGCCCACCCATTTTGGTCATACGTTATCGCATTTCGCATATCCGATTTCGCATATCCGGTTCAACCGGTTGAAACGGTTCATCATGAAACAAGCGCAGAACTGAACCGAGGCTGACCTAAGAAATATTCGGCACGTGTTTTAAAAAATGGTGGGGTCCAGGACAGACTAGACTGGACACCGTCTCTAGAATATTGAATTATTAAGAAAAAGTTTAATTAAAAAAAATGATCACTTGGATCACGGAATTAGATTATCTAAGTCTGTGCTTGGATGTACGATTCTAGACTAGGGGGAGATAACCTAGTAGTAAAATGCAGCTGGGAAATTCTTCATAAAAACTTAAGGGCTGGTAGCCAGTAGAGTACAGACGTGCCTGACCGAAATAAAAATGCTGACATAATGCGTTATTTCTTTCTAAACTCAATCCAGATGTATATTAAGATATATTACTGGACGCGTGAAAGAAGGACATACTTTCCTAATGTTTTAATTATACGCGAAACTATGCAACTTTCTAGCTTTACCTACAGTTCGGCCGAAGTGCGTTCGTTTATCGTGGACTATTCTGTCCCACCTGAACCGGTTCAACCGGGCGGGCTAGGCGAATGCGACCCTTGACAAACAGCAGACATTTTCCGGAACACCGAGGTTCTGTTCCGAGATTTCAGTCTCACACCAATTGATCTACCAGCGACTGCAGGTAACCGGTACGTGACATTTCTCTCAAAGCTGTTTGTATATTTATATAATGTAGTTAACCGCTAATGAATCTGAAATTTTGTCTGATCAAATTATCACAGCCGGCACAAATGAGATCCGGGTTTTTTTGGAAACTGTGACGACAACTGAAATAAACCAGCATCTCTGTGGTAATATTTAGATTGTCGCGCAACAAGGATTTCATTCTTGTGGCGTCACATTCCGTAAAACTCAAATGTCTAATTATTTTCATATTCTTTTTCAAACTATCGTCTAAATTCCACACCTGAAATCAGTGGTGTACTTTTACCCGGACTCATGATCATGAGTTGTCTCCCATCATTGTGTCATTTTTAGCGACATACAATGTAGGCAGACGTTCACAACAAAATACAGTAGGCTAGGGAAATCTCGTCGGGATACGACGGTCGACCCCAGGTGAAAAGAAAGAAGTGTTGCGTCTTCTCTACTAGAAATCGAACACTTTTCATTTATATGATTATGAATGGCGTAACGAACTGTTCTGAATCAAAATATCTAGTTTTAAGCATTTGAAGCAAATTTTATCTGTCTACTTATCTTCTTTTTCTTCTTCCATGTTCCATATTAAGGTTGAGTGCATTTGATCCATGGATCTTTTTGACTTAATTTTTATCAGAAAGTGTCGAAGCTTTTTTGGATTTGGTTTTGCTTATTAGTGTTACACCTGTCGTCTGCATAAACAACGATGGTGACTGGCGAGGAGATTTTGGAGGAATTTGCAGCAATTTGACGAATTTTGTGTATGTTTTGTTTATTTGAAAGGGAAAAAAACATATGATAAAAAGTTTATGATATGACCATTTTGATATCACACCCCCAATAAGCCCTCAAGTCCTGATATCATCCTTCGGTCCTCTGGCTATACAATTTTGTATAAACCATGGGTCTGGCTCCCCAGGGGCCTGATGAGCGGAGCCCAATAGGGGAAACAGCAAATTATTCTTTAAATCCTTATTCTTCTGTAGGAATGAAAGGATTTGATCTATATTTAGTGTGGAACATCCTTGGGCAAAGGGGAACCAATTTCGTATAAACGGTGGGTGTGGCCCCCCTGGGACCTGAGGAGTGGGGCCCAATAGGGGAAATAGACGTAAATTTTCAAAATCCTTCTTCTTATGTAGGAATAAAAGGATTTGGTCCATATTTGTTCAGAAGCATCATTGGGGGGAGGGGAACAAAGTTTGTATAAATGGTGGGTCTGGCCCCCCCTGGGGGCTGAGGGGCGGGGTCCAATAGGGGAAATATAACAAATTCTGTAAAATCCTTCTGTAGGAATGAAAGGATTTGTTCCATATTTGGTCTGAAGCATTCTTGGGTGAAGGGGAACCAATTTTGTATACCCCGTGGATCTGGCCCTCAAGGTGCCTGAGCGGCGGGGCCAATAGGGGAAACATAGCAAATTATTCTTTAAAATCCTTTTTCTTCTGTAGGAATGAAAGGATTTGGTCCATATTTGGTGTGGAGCATCCTTCGGTAAAGGGGAACCAATTTTGTATAATCCATGGGTCTGGCTCCCCAGGGGCCTGATGGGCGGAGCCCAATAGGGGAAACATAGCAAATTATTCTTTTAAATCTGTATTCTATTTTTAGGATTGAAAGAATTTGGTCCATATTTGGTGTGGAACATCCTTGGGTATAGGGGAACCAATTTTGTTTAAACAGTGGGTGTGGCCCCCCTGGGACCTGAGGGGTGGGGCCCAAAAGGGGAAATAGACTTAAATCTTCAAAATCGTTCTTCTTCGGTAGGAATGACAGGATTTTGTCCATATTTGGTCTGAAGCATTCTTGGGTGAAGGGGAACCAATTTTGTGTAAACGGTGTGTCTGACCCCCCCCTGTAGGCAGAGAGGCGAGGCCCAATATGGAAAATAGAGGTAAAACCTTTAAAATCCTTCTTCTACCATAGGGATTAAGGGATTTTATCCTTATTAAGTGTGGAGCATCCTTGGGTGACAGTGACTCAATTTTGTATAATTGGTGGGTATGACCCCCGTAGTGGCTTAGGGGTGGGGCTCTGTTTGAAGTTTGTTCTTGTTATATCTCAAGTACTGAAATTTCATATGTACTTACAGCACCTACCATGGAGTGCTATATCTTTACTTCATACCAATTACTTAAATTATATTCAGGTGAGCGATACAGGCCCTCTGGACCTCTTCGTTAATTTGGAAAACAGAAATTTTACCTCAAAAATTATTCCAAAGATTCAGAAGGAAAATGAAGTCATTGCAAACCAAGAGGATATTTTGGCTGAAGTAAGGCCTTTTTATGAAAATTTATATAAGCATCGAGATGTTAATAAATACTGATATAGAAATCCATCTTCAGAATTGTAATGGTAAAAAACTAAGTAATATTGCATCTAAAAGCATTGAGGTGATCATAACATTTGATAAAGCAGGGAAAACTCTCAAAAACATGAAAAACAATAGAAAATCCTTGTTCAGACAGTTTCACTGCAGAATTTTTTAATTTTCTTTGGAAATATTCAGGTAATTTTGTCGTCTGTTCCATAAACTATGCTTTTACAATTGGTCACTGTTCAGTTACTCAGAGGCATGGTGTAATAACTTGTATTCCAAAGGGAGATAAACCTTGACATTTCTTAAACAACTGGAGACCCATTCCTCTTTTAAATATTACTTATAAAATAGCTTCTGGGGCAATCTCAAATAGGATTAAAACAGTCTTGGGAAATATTATCATTGAAGATCAGACAGGTTTTTTTATCAGGTAGGTACTTAGGAGAAAATATTCGCACAGTCTATGATATAATGCAGTTTGCTGCGGAAGAAATTATCCCTGGTATGTAATTGACTTTGTAAAAGCTTTTGATTCAGTATCCTGGAATTTTATTGACAAAATATTGAATTATTTTTACTTTGGCGAAGATATAAGAAAATGGGTCAAAACTTTTCATAATAATGTAAATGCATCAATCAATCAAGGTGGCAATATTCCTAAATTTATTAATATTCAACGTGGATGCTGGCAAGACGACCCTATTTCGCCATATATTTTCATCCACTGTGCTGAAGTTTTAGCTTTAAAAATTAAAAACAATAGTCATATTAAGGGCATTAAGGTTGAAAATACACCAATTTCAAATGTTCAGTATGCTGATGACACCAGGTTGATTCTTGATGGGTCAGATCTCTCTCTCAGTGAGTCATTTGTAGCAAAACACAAATTATTTGGATGGGAAGTAGGAAATACAGTGACCAGACTTGCCTGCCAGAGATGAATTTACAGTGGGGAAAAGAAAAGTTCACTTTTTTGGGGATAGATTTCAGTGTGGATTGAAGTGAAATTCCTGAAATGAATTTTGATAAAAAAATCGTAAAACTTAAAGCCCTAATTATAATTAGTATTTGGAATAAACGGAATCTGATTCCAATAGGCAAAATACATGTTATTAAGTCATTGTTGATTTCACAACTGAATTATTTGTTTATTACTTTACCAAACCCACCAGAAAAATATATTACTCAGTTGAAAACGCTATTTATTTTATTTTTCATGGAACGGTATATGTCATAAGATTAAGAAAGAAGTGATGATTCAAAATTATATAGATGGGGATTTAAAGATGATTGATGTCTGTGCCTTTATAGATTCTCTTAATAAATATAAGCTAGGTTGGATAACGAAAGTAGTGCAATCACATGGAAAATGGAGTATACTTTTAAACACAAGGGTTGATCTATACAAGCTATGCTTGGATGAAAAGCTATCAAATTTGTTCAACTGAATGACCTTTGCATATATGCAAGGTCACAGGGGTCAAATTTGTAGAAATCTTTAAACAACTTCTTCTTAATAACCAAAAGGCCTAAAGTGATGAATTCAGCCAGAAGCATACTGGGATAAAGGGCTACCAAGTTTGCTGGGAAGAAGTGCTGTCATGTTTGTTCAAATATTGACCTTTGCCCATATTAAAAGTCACAGGGGTCAATTGTCTTATTGAAATCCTTTAAATGTCTTCTCCTGAGTAAGCAAAAGGCCCAGGATAATGATAATTGGCCAGTAACATGCTTGGAGGTAGGGCTACCAAGTTTATTCAAATGAATGACCTAAAATTTTATTCAAGGTCACAGGTGTCGTATATGTTCAAAACCTTTTAATGATCTCTCCTGAATAACCAAAAGGCCCAGGATAATGATAATTGGCCAGTAACATGCTAGGATAAAGGGCTTCCAAGTCTGTTCAACTGGATGACCTTGACTTATAGTCAAGGTCACAGGGGTTAAAATTTGTTCAAAACCATGAAACGACTTCTTCTGAGTAAGCAAAAGGCCCAGGCTGATGATATTTGGCCAGTAACTTGCTTGGATATAGGGCAACTAAGTCTGTAAAAATGAATGACCTTGACTTTTATTCAAGGTCACAGGGGTCAAATGTATTCAGAAACTTTTAATGGCTTCTTATGAATAACCGGAAGGTGCAGGAGGATGATATTTTGCCAGTAACATGCAGGAATGATGTTACTAAGTTTGTTCAAATGAATGAACTTGACTTATATCCATGGTTACAAGGGTCAAATATGTTCAAAACCTTTTAAAGACTTTTGCTGAATATCCAGAAGGCCCAGGATGTTGATGTTTCCAGTAACATGCAGGAAAAATGGGCTACCAAGTTTGTCTTGAAAACTTTTAAACAACATTTCCTGAGTAAGCAAAACGCTCAGGATAATGATAATTGGCCAGTAACATGCTTGGAGGTAGGGCTCCCAAGTTTATTCAAATGATTGACCTAAAAATTTATTCAAGGTCACAGGGGTCAAATATGTTCAAAACTTTTTTACGACCTCTCCTGAATAACCAAAAGGACCAGGATGTTGATATTTGGCCAGAAACATGCTTTGATCAAGGGTTACCAAACTAAGTTTGTTCAAATGAATGACATTGATTTTTATTCAAGGTCACACATGTCAAATATGTTTTAACACTTTTAACAACTTCTGAATAATCAGAAGGGCCAGTATGGTGATATTTGGCTAGGTATACGCAGGGATGAAGGGCTACCAACTTCAAGTATGTTAAAATGAATTACCTTGACTTATAGTCAAGGTCACTTGGGTCAAATATGTTTTAAACTTGTAAGCAAATTCTTCTGAATAACCAAAATGCTATGCATTTTTAGGCCACTTGACCTGAAAGTAAGATTTTACTTTAAATAATTTCTTCATAATAACCAAAAGGCTTAGTGTGCTGATATTAGGCCAGAAGCAAACTTGGATGAAGTGCTACCAAGTTTGTTCAAAATAAATGACCTTCACACAAATTCAGGGTCACAGAAGTGAAATATTTTAACAGCTTAAAACAACTTCTTCTGAATAACAAAAATGCCCAGGGTGATGATATATGACCAGTAGCATGCTGTGATGAGGACTACTAAGTTTGTTCAAATGAATGACCTTCGTCCAAATTCAAGGTTACAGGAATCAAATTTTAAACTTGAAACAACTTATTCTGAATAGTCAAAATGCATAGGGTGGTGATATGTGACCAGATGAATAGCAATATATTTTGTTTATGTGAATGACCTAGCTTGACACATGTTCAATTTTACATTTGGTCAATTGTTTATAAACCCTTAAAAGTCATTTTCTTAATATGGTGGTGATATTTGGCTGGTCGCATTCTTGGATAAAGGGCTATAAATTTAAAATTTGTTCAACTTAATGTTATTCTTTGACTTTCAAGCTCATAGGGGTCAAATGTGTTAAAATCTTTAACATGTTCTTATGAATGTCTTTGAGTCAAGACACTGATATTTTGCTTGTAGCTTTATTTAAGTCCATTTCTAAAGTTACAAGTGTGAGATTAATATCAAGTGAACGACACAGGCCCATTTAGCCTTTTGTTTGGTTTAAAATCTGTCAAAACACGAATTATTCATGTTCTTGTAATATAATGCCTTGAATGATCCCAGGTATTGTCAACAGTTTTGCTACACTTTATGTTTCAGGTTTGTACAGAAACATCAGAAATGGCTTCAGATATTCCAACAGAGGCCATAGATATCCACAACGAATTGGTGTTTTATCTTGGAACACAGATTGAGGAGACCAAATTACATCAACTTAAGAACCTGTTCAGAAATAATCCATTAACCCCAGTCGACATTGTTTCGATTAAAAACATCTATGACCTATTCGACAGTCTTATGAGATACACTAGAATAGCTGTGGGAGACTACACACAATTTGTACGGAAACTTAAACTTACAAATCCTGACCTGGAGAGATATGTGAAAGAGAAAGAAAATGCAATTAAAAGCATTGTTGATGGAGGTGAGTCAAACTTACATATTGCTACATGTTTATATCAAAAATATTTTATCAAAATTAAGGATCTCTTCATGATATGCATGTGTAAGATTTTCATTTATTTGAAGCGTAACTGGATTTGTGGGTCAATTTTGAAATTAATTTAGAGTTTTAATTCAATCATGATAATGATTTTTTTTTTCATTTCCTTTGAAGTTGTTGAAACCTTGCAGATCTAGAACGACCACTACCGTAACTACATATATGTTGGTGTTATATTTCATGACATGAATCCTTGTTTTATACACAAGGAGTTTCACAGGTGTCTCATAATTTTATATTGGGTATCTAATAATTCATAGGTACAAGCCCGGAGAGGAAAAAGTACATTACACAACAACCAGGGTGTGACTTAGATCTGGTACTATATATAGATGTTGGAGGGTAGACATATGAATTGAAATGCAACCATCAAAAATCAGATAATAGGAAAATCTGACATTCTAACCCATTGGACAGCTGGTAAACAGTGATTGACCATGTCCAGTAGGATTGTGTTCATACTCTTGGACATTAGGAAGATAAATTAGATTATATAAATATGTATACAAGTAGAGAAGTTACAGTGGGGACAATAAAATTAGTCTAATTTTTGAGGCAGTCTGCCCCTTTATCAAATCACATATATGAAACACGCAGTAAAAACACACTTACTACTGAATTTCTAATGCTGATGTAGAAACTTATCCCTGCAGCTATATAGTTAGCTAATAGAACCAAAAACTTTCAAGAAAACGATGAATGACAAGGTAAACTGTTACATTAGTCTAGTTTAGTCTAATGATCTTGGACTTATTACAGGTAGATCTTTGTTGTATGTATATATAGTGTACAAGTTATATTTATTGAAAGTTACTGACATAATTGCTTTACTTACAGGTCCATCACCAGCCAAGCAACCAAGGTCAGGAGATCAAGGCCAGCAACAGTCTACAGGTTTGTGATCAGTACATGTTCAGTGGAATGTAAAATGTAAACTTTGGTCTAGTGACTACTATGTTAGAGGAGGGATGTACATGTACACACAAGTATACATGTAAGAACATATTTTCAGTGACACCCACGCATTGAAAGGACTATGTAACAGTGCTGGTTGTTCAAATTGCTTTTTGTCTGTAGTTTCATCAGTCAGGAAGTCCAACATTCCTTGCCTGAACAATTTTTGCTGTCTGTGTGTCTGTCTGCTTTAAGAGTATTCTGATCAAGTTCCATAAAGTCCAGGGTTTTCTGATTTTTCACCAGTAGAACTTGAGATGAAAATGTTTACAGTTTCCTCATATAAAAGACCTTGACATCCTTTCAAGGTCAGAGGGTCAAATACTTGAAATACTTACAACAGCAATTATCTGAAGAATAAAAAGGACCTGAGCCATGATATTTGGATATGTTATGTAAATAGGTAGTGTTAACCTTGTTATGGATTATATACTTGGCCCATTTAGTTCTGTATGTTCCAATTTCAGAGATCATGAGCTCAGAGTTCATGTTGCAATTTGATTTGCACAACTTCCTTGTTACCTCAGTACTGATATTTGTTCAGAAAGAGAAAAGAAAAAAACCTACATAACAGCAACATTCCATGATATCTGAGCCACGATCCCTCTGGGATCTCATGTGTTCTGTTACACTTTCATCACGGTGTCAACAATATCAAGATAACTAGCTCACTTAAAAGTAACAGAAATGGAATCAATGTTGTAACGGCCTTATGATCGATATAAAGATAGTAATTATAGAATACAGAACTCATGTTATAAAATCTTTGCAATATTTTGTCATAGTTCTTTCAGTCCAAGTATACAATGTAAGCCTGAGTTGTATGTGTATGGTGGATGGAAGTTTAATAGTTAAAATTGTATTAAAAATAATTTTATGAACTTATAACAATCATAATTGGAATGATTTTGGTAAGTAAGTATACATGTTTTCCATCTATTTTCAGATCTGGCTAATATGATTGTTACAACATCAGACACAAGCCGAGACAAAAGTAAGTTTGACAGCTGCAGTGTTATCCACAGGCCTTTATAGCCAGACGTACCATCTGGTTATATTTTACTAGCAGGTTGTTTTCTGAATTTTAATAAAGAAACTAAGTATAGTGGAGCGTTTTGAAAAGATATACAACAGTCGGGCCAAGTGCCAGAAAGCTGGTATCTCCACCTTATTGTCAATATATAGGGGTACTTGGAAAGTCCAACTAGCTCTGTCTCTGGCTTTAAGTCACTGGACATACAGTCTGTAGCTAGACTATTGAAATTAATTTCAAATTCTCCCCTTTTAGTAAATTGTAATTCCACTTCAACAGATTATCATGTGATGTTAAAGAATCAGAAGACACTTACCTGTTCTAGTTCTGTCATGTATACATGTAATGATATCTACTAGTGTACTAGTTCTGTCATGTATACATGTAATGATATCTACTAGTGTACTAGTTCTGTCATGTATACATGTAATGATATCTACTAGTGTACTAGTTCTGTCATGTATACATGTAATGATATCTACTAGTGTACTAGTTCTGTCATGTATACATGTAATGATATCTACTAGTGTACTAGTTCTGTCATGTATACATGTAATGATATCTACTAGTGTACTAGTTCTGTCATGTATACATGTAATGATATCTACTAGTGTACTAGTTCTGTCATGTATACATGTAATGATATCTACTAGTGTACTAGTTCTGTCATGTATACATGTAATGATATCTACTAGTGTACTAGTTCTGTCATGTATACATGTAATGATATCTACTAGTGTACTAGTTCTGTCATGTATACATGTAATGATATCTACTAGTGTACTAGTTCTGTCATGTATACATGTAATGATATCTACTAGTGTACTAGTTCTGTCATGTATACATGTAATGATATCTACTAGTGTACTAGTTCTGTCATGTATACATGTAATGATATCTACGATTGTACTAGTTCTGTCATGTATACATGTAATGATATTTACTAGTGTGCTAGTTCTGTCATGTA